CTTTAGTCTCCATCTAACCAATTTAGAGCCAGGCTCTTTCAATGACATAAGCCACTGAAGGGGCTTGTGATCAGTATAGATAAAGAATTTTCGTCCATATAGATAGGGTCTAAAATATTTAGTTGCCCAAACTATGGCCAACAATTCTTTCTCTGTTGTACTGTATTTAGATTCGGATTTATTTAAAGTTCTGGAGGCGAATGCCACGGGTAAATCGTTCGGTACATTGCCCTGCGACAAAACTGCACCGATGGCGACGTCACTCGCGTCAGTAGTTAAGATAAAGGGTTTAGAGAAATCAGGGTAATTTAATATTGGGTCGTTAATCAAAAGACTCTTGCAAGTCTCGAAGCATTCGATAAACTCCTTATTGTGTATAATTTTACTACCTTTCTTTAAGCAAAGGGTCATTGGCTTTGTAATTTTTGCGAAATCTTTAATGAATTTTCTATAATAACCTAAAAGGCCTAAAAATGATTTTATTTCTTTGGTAGTTTTTGGTATAGGGAATTTTTTTATAGCAGATACTTTATCAGGATTTGGTTTTATACCTTTTTCTGTAATTACATGTCCTAAGTAGTTTGTTTCGCGTTGTAGAAATTCCGATTTGTCAAGTTGTACCTTAAAATTTGTTTGTCTTAGTCTGTCGAAAACTTTTCTTAGTTTAACCATGTGTTCATGAAGGGAAGTTGAATAGATAATTATGTCATCGAGGTAAACGAGGCAAGTTTCGTCATGAAGGCCGCGTAAGACATTGTCCATGACCCTCTGGAAGGTCGCTGGAGCATTTTTAAGTCCGAAAGGCATTCTGAGGAACTCATAATGGCCATTTTCGGTATTAAAAGCGGTCTTTTCTCGGTCCTCCGCTTCGATTTCTATCTGGTGAAACCCAGAAGCTAAATCAAGCGTGGTGAAATACTGGGCCTTACCTAGTTTGTCCAGTATATCCGAAATATTGGGCAGGGGGTATTTATCGTTAATAGTTTTTTCGTTAAGCTTGCGGTAATCAATAACGATTCGCCATTTTTGTTCACCGCTTGCGTCAAGTTTTTTAGGTACTATCCATATGGGAGAGGACCAAGGAGAAATTGAGGGTTGAATTATTTTTTGTTTAAGCATTTTTTGAATTTGTTGTCTAACTTCTTCTTTGTGAACAAATGGGTAACGATATGATTTAGTGTAAATTGGTTGTTCGTCTGTGGTTCTAATTTTATGTTTGATTTGATTAGTAAAAGTTAAATTTTGGTTTTCAGTGTAGAAAATGTCACTGTATTCTATTAGTACCTTAAATAAAGAAGATTTTTCTTCTTCATTTAAATGGGATGTTCTAAATTTTGAAAAATCAATTTTTTGTTTATTTAAATTATGTTTACTTTTACAAATTTTTTCTTGTGTGGAATAAGATTCTAAAAAATCGGTTTCTTTAAGTTTTTGAGTTCGTATTGCTTTATAAAAATTAACTGTAACAGGTGTCGAACTAGGGTTTAATATGGTAGTTATGGCATAATAGTTTTTTGCTGAAACCCAGCATTCAGGTATTTCGCAATTATTAATTTTTGTATAGGGGATTAAAGCTTCGCCATTTTCTAATGTGACAGGAATATTTGCAACTGATTTTGATCGCGCTGGAATAGTAATAGTAGTAATTGTTGGGGGTAATTTTGTTTTATAATTTAAACTCATACAACTGTATGGTGTTTCTAAGCGATGTAAAATAAAATTTAATTTTGATTTTAAAGCTTTGAGAATATTTATACCTATTATTCCATCAAAAAAGGGATGAAAATCTAATATATTAAATTTTACGTCAAGGGGGTAAGGGACATCAAAAATAGAGAAAATTGGAATTATAATACTATGTGATAAATGTGTTTTTGAATTTAAACCGTAGATTTCTGTGTTATCGTCAACAATAAAATCTTTGTAGTATTTTTTGGCAATTTTATTACTAATAAATGAATTTGAGGATCCTGTATCTATAAGGAGGTTAAAATTATGTGGGGGAATTGTAATATATGGTAAACGATTATGAATAATTGAATTTGTGTTATTATAAACATAATTTATTCCGGATTGTCTGTTTCCAAAGGTTCTTGAAAATTTTGAGAATTATCATCCTCAATTGAGGAATTATAATATTCAAAATTTTCCGTGTATTCGGATTCATCTGAAAAATCTACGAGCTGTGGATTTTCATTTGTTTCTACCATTTCTGCATTATATAATTGATTTTTAGGTTTAATCGTGTTACGAGTTGAAACGCTCATAGGGGTTGGTTTAGGTAAAAATTGAGTAGGGGTATTTTTGGGTGCAAACACATTAGTTGGAGGTTTATTAGGTTGTTGGAAAAACCTAGGTGGTTGATAATAAGCATTGGGTGTAAAATTTGGGTTATGTTGGTAATTAGATGTTGAAGGATAATTATTAAAATTATTTGGTCTTGGGAAGGAATATTGTTGGATATTTTGTGGATATCTTTGTACAGGTGATTGTCTGTTATAATTATTGTTATTTTGCGGTTTTTTGTGAGAGTTTTGATTATTTTGAACTTGTCTGTTTCTATTAAAAACTCGGTCATTATTTTCACGTTCATTAATAAACTGATATGCTTCGGCTAATGAAGTTGGTCGCATATTTAAGACATTTGTCCTTAATGGTTCGAAAAGTCCATTTAAATAAATTGATAAAGTTAATTTTTTATATTGATTATATTTTAAATTTTTATCGGCCGCGTTCGCTTCGTGAATATCAGCGTGCGTGTTCATTGCTCCTAATTGTGTAAGGCAACGTTCATAGAACGATTGTGCCGTTTCATTTTGTTTTTGTCGCATATTAGTGAGGTCAATGAGTAAATTTTCTTCATTTCTCGAGTCTGCAAAATTCCTTACAAGGACATCTTTGAATGTAGTCCAAGTATTAATTTGGCATGTACTAGCAATAATTTTAGCATTTCCTGTTAATTTTTGAACAAGGCAGTTTACGATTAATTTATTTTGGAAGGTATTTTCTGGTGGTGCAGAATAATACTGATCAACAATCAATTTACAGCAAGATAAAAACCTAGATAATGATTGTGTGTCGCCGTCAAATTCGGGGACGCATTTCATATGCTGAATATTGAAATCTGGAGGTGGCATTGTTTCGTTTTCGTTAACAAGATTTAATTGATTTAAAGAAGAGACTAATTCCTCCAGTTTTCACTATTTTAAATAATTTTATTAAAATACTTAATTAATAGTTTAATAGTTTCCTTCGATAATTGAACTCAGACTATACTTGAGTAAAATTACTTATTAAGGTATTAAAATTATATAAAGTTTATATTATTTATATATGATATAGGGTAAATAGGATATTCCTATAACTTATGCGAATAACTTTTAGTTTCGCGATAAAATAATTATAAAATATTATTAAAATCTTTGATAACTTACGAAATTATGACGTTCAGGAACATAGGGATGATCCGGCGTCGCAGCATTGATGGTATCGACCAAAAAGCTCTTGAGTTTACGTAGTAATTCCAGGTCCACAGATTTATTGAAATCCGGCGTTGTCTGCAAGGTTGCCCTCAGGATTGCTGGTGTTGTCTTGCTCTTCCTCGAAGGTGTCTTCTTCGAAGCGCGTAACTTGTATGTCCTTTTTTTCCGGTAAATCGTTGGAACGAACGTTATTTTTCACAAAATTAACTCCGAAAAAATCCGTTACGACTGTGCCAATTACGTTTTTCGTTTGTAATAAAACGTTTTTAAAAAGTTTATTTTAATTACAAGGGATGATGGTAGGTAGTAACACACAAATTTACTCGAACTAGACAACAGTGTTTATTACGCTAAAACTAAGTTCACAATAAGATTGAAGTGGTATATATAACCTATTATTCTTAGTCAGCTTTTTCTAGGCTGCTGCATAGACGATAAATGCATATGTGCCCTAATATACAGGGGCACGTAACTTGCTATACTGCTTAAAAAGAAACTTGCGCGAGTGATGTGTTTTTTTTAATAAATTTTTATAATTTTAATTTATAAAAATTGATGTAATACATGATATTAAAAAACCATAAATTTATATTACCCATGGAAAAGTATAATGCAATTTAACAAATGTTTAAAAACTGTTTGGAAAATAATAAAACCCCAATAAAAATCAAAACATAACGCGTAGGGCAATAAGCAAGATTGGAAAATAGTATATTGTTCAACGATTGGGAAAGTGGGCCATTTCCATGAGGATGAAATATTGCGATACGAGTGAATAAATTCATTTCGAATGGAAATGGCCATTTCTCAAGTGTTGAACAGTATACTTTTTCTAATTTTATTAAAGAATTTAGTACAATTTTTTGTAATTACCATAACCACAGATTTGATGACAAATTTCATCATAGTAATTATAAATACTACCGTGAAGAAAATTAAAATCTCGTAGTCTCATTGGACAGTAGGTAACCCGTGAGAGATCAATTTTCTCCTCTCTTTCTCAATTGAAAACGTATAGGAAATGTACAAATTATTTAATATGATTACAAAAAAATATATAGGAACTTGTATATTTACAGATACGAAATTGTATGACCAAGCTGCTAAGTTTTTAGGATACTTAATTATTTTTTCTTATGTACTTAAGTACATAAACAGTTCGTCGTTTATCTGACAAAGAGGCGTATCTCATTTTTAAACAAAACGGTGTAAATTGAATTACGCCAGTTTGTACGGCACACAAAATGCAAAAATATTAGTTACGCCGAAACTGCTTTATGCTAAAACTTTATTTGTACCTATTTATTATAGAGCTACGCCAGTTTGTGAGACTATAAAGTCGATTTTGGTGATCATTCTGGTATAACTCAAAAACGAATTTTTTTGAGTTACGCCTCTTTGTCAGATAAACGACGAGTTGTTTAAACTTTATTTGATTTATCAATTTTTCTTTTAGACTTGCCAGAATCAGGACAGTCACCATGTACAGCTCATACTGCACTAAAGCAATTAATACAGAGGCTGTTAAGAGACTCGAACGAACTTCCTAGTTTACAAAAAGACGAAACTAATCCTGAAGTGCCATCAGAAGACAATAATAGTACATACGAAGATCTATTAGCCACTGCCATAATAAACAAGGTATCTTAATTAATAAAAAAATTGTTATAAACTAATTTGTAACACATTAAAACGGTTAATAATTGCAATAACATGTTATTAAATAATTTGTTTTAAATTAATTTATTAAAATACTAATTTTTATTTTTTAGTAATTTACATAATTAATAGGGTGTGTCATTTTTAAGCAACTTTTTTTTTCAACTAAAAAACAGGCTAAAAACTTTCAGGTGAAAAAAGAAACCTCTAAAAATTTGAGCTCTTAATATTAACATTAAGTGGTGCCTGTTCCATGGAAAAATTTTTCCACGGAAAAATTTTTCCATGCCAAATTTGGCTAATACTTCTCATAAATACTCGTAGAAAAAATAAGTAAACTTAAGGAAGTAACAAGAATATATTTAGACATGGTTCTGATGTGTCCTGTCCATGGGCTTGGAATGGCCGTACAGTTATTAGTGGCTGCTTTTTAACTTATACCATGGTTATAACCATGGGATACCATGGTATCCCCAACATTTGAAAGTAAAGCAGTTTTTGAGATAGTCAATTCCATATTATATGGAAAATTGACTATATCTCAAAAACTGTTCTACTTTTTTAACTTTTGACATTTTCGGATTTTGGGGACAATTTTACATGGAAATTGACTGCTAAATGTTTTAGTTACAAATTGCTAGTGACGAGAATTATTAGTGGCTGCTTTTTCGCTACAATGACAATTAGTCATTTTTTACTAATTCATTTTTAGAGAGCGCAAAAGACAATTTTTTGAAATTTTCTGACGGATCGATTTTGAATCCACTTTTTGGGTAAAAAAATATTAAATTGAATAACTTTAAAAAAAAAATTACCGGCCATTTTGTTTTAATTCGATGATACCCAATTAAAATGTATAAAAAAATGTTACCTTCGGCCAAACATTCGGCTCAAGCCGAAGTTTTAATCGAAGCCGAATTTTTGGCCGCAGCCAAAGCTTCGGATCATCTTGCCCCATGTCCCATTACCTGGCGATGCCCTTGGCTACTTGTTACATTGGTAACCGCTACTAAATCCACTGTCAGCAAAATATAAAAAAAAAATCTCTTAAAATTTATCTATACCTAATTTTCGGATAAAATGTCTTAAAATAAATTTTAGACTATTAAACTTAAGGGCTTCGTTAAAAAATATGTTTTTGATTTGACCCACAATAAAATATTGTATAAGGTTAAGCCTTTTTATTGCCGTTTTATTAGAGAACTATAAAACATTACTATATTTATAAGTTTAGTATAAAACTATGTTATGTTATGCACAAACATTGGTCTACATTTGAATAATTGGATAAAGTACAGTAGTTTGAAGGGTTTCTGTTTCCTTTGTTTTAAAAATCAATAGTAATTTTATTTAACTCCAAGTGAAAATGGCAATTGTTTCGGTTACATTAAAAAAGGTAACGTTTTAATATTTTTAATATTTATTAGAAAAGTTTTATTATTTAAGGCGCAATCAAACTATAGACACCTTCATTTTTAAGTAAGTAGATTATTCAATTCGTATTCAATATTTATAAAAATTCCACAATCAAATTAGAAAATCTTTATCCGTTAGTCATTATAAAATACAATTCATTAATTAAAAAAATTGAAATCTTAGCACTATTTATTACAAAAATAGTGAATGAAAGTAATTATTTCATCATAGTAAAAATGCATATAATATTACATTTTAATTTGTGAATATTTCAAATTTAAATTTATGTAAATGAATGTTATTTAAAATAGTAAATTAATGTAAAAACGAATGTTTTTAACTCATTTATCATTAACTTTGTATGTAGATTTAAATTGCAAAAATACATTCCAAATTCGTGTTGGTAGGTACTTAATGAAATTGATTATGAACTCTATCGGTGAACATTTAAATTAAATTAAATATGAATGCTTTTTTTAAAAGAACAATGGCAATATTTGGGTTAAGAATACTAAAAACAGCGTGTTTATTGCGAGAAAAAAATTTCCCTAAGATTCCCGAATCACTTATAGAACATCTACTATTTTTTGTCCATCTTGCTTCGTTTTTTGCACTCGGTGTTAAAAAGGCTTAGGAAAAAAGGATGTTGATTTGTTTACCAGGGGCATTCGTAAAGCCGAAACTAAACTAATTTTAGGCAGAAAATTTTTCGGAACATTATTTTTTAGAATGTTGTCTCCGAATTTTTGTTCAATTTTTGCTTTGTTAATTTTTATATTATTAAATGTATATTTTTAACCAAGTTGAAATTAAAAAACAACTAAACATTTTATTTAAAGAAAGTGTAGGAAACTTATTTTTCATGAAGTAATTAATATATCCCGAAAGTTAAAAATAATCCAATGTTTTAATTTAAAACTGCCAAAATGTCTTATAAAATTAGTAAAACAGTACAGTAAAACATTTTAGGTTCTAAAATTGTAGTAAAAACATCTGAAAACTGTCCAGACCATAGGACCGAAGAGTTTAAAACTAAGAACAATAAAAATAATTTTCTTTTAAAGGTTATTTCAAGTTGTCAAAACAACCAAAATTTACCATCATCCTCGGCCAATAGCGTATCAAGTCGCCAGTCCACTTCGTCACGGACAAAAGATGATAGAGAATACTTTTTTGGAGAAGAAACCCTCGACTCCAAATGGAAAACTACAGACTTGGATACGACTTCAATATCAAGTCTGGAAGACTGGATGCAGAACGAACACAATGGCACCAAGAAATACGTGGATAAAGTTACACTAACTGTATAAAATTTACAAAATATTTAATATTTAATATAACAGTTGTATATTTTCAGATAAAACAGAACATAGAAGAGTTACCACCAACTGATAGTGAAGACGATGATCAGGACGATTCAGAGTACTTTAAAAATAAGTCTCTATTGAGTGACGATGATGCCAATTGGTTTTTACAAAAAAGGCAGTTCCAAGGTACGCACTCTCCAGTACCTGTACCAATGTTGGTGCCGGATCCAACTGGAGATGCAAAAGTACTCATTGGTGATAAGGAATTGGACGAAACTTCCGATCTTTCGGATATAGATGCCGACTTTGGGGATACCGAGACAATACCAGAAGTAAAATCGCTTCTAGTAAACTCCAAAACCATCATAGGTGGCAAAAATAGTATCGAGCAGGTATCGATAGGTTCGGATGGAGAACTGTCCGCTGATTCAGGAGTACGTGACGACACAAAGGATTTTGATTACTTTGGAAGCAATAACAATATTGACGAGCCAATGATATATGCTGAAGCTGTGAATCCTTCCAAAACTGATATTACTGTAGATGATGACAGTAAGTTTAACTTAAAAATATTTTAGTTTATTATAAATTGTACATTGCAGATATTGAAGATGTTTCAATCACATCATCATACAGTAATACCGAAAAGGATACAGAGTACACTGAACGATATGCTTCGTTACCAAGAACTATAGAAAAATCGGCATCCATGTAAAATTAATTTATCTATAAATTTTTTTAAATAACAAGTATCTTTTTAGGTCGAAATATGATAGAGAGCAGCGAAAACGTGCCATCGAGAAAGAAGAAACTCTAAACGTTCAAAACATACAGGAAGATGAAAACGAGAACTATCCAAATATTGAAATGATTGGAAACTACACTAAAAAAGAACGAGAAAAATGGAAACACGCTGTACAAATGGAAAATAATCCATATTCAAAAGAAAATATTGAAAAAAGACTAAGCAGATCTAATAGCTCAACAAGTTCGCTGTAAGTATTTCATTGAGATTGTTTTCGAAATGTTAAACAAATATTTTCGTTCATAAAGATTTCTTAATGTTAGGTTCCTGAAATGTTGCTGGAAGTCTTAGGTAATTAGAAATATTTCAGAAACATTTACCATATAGTTACAAATACATAATATGTTACAAATAAAATATTGCTAAAAAGCATTCATAATTAACAATTATTGTAATGTTATTTCAAAGTTGAATATTGAAGTTAATTATGTCCAAATTCAAGAAATTATTTATGAATTTATTAATTCCTAAGTTAATTACCCAGAAACCATACTTTAGTTGAGTAACTCTACCCCATGGGATAGGTGCACGAGAAGTATTTATCGTTTGCCAGACGTGCAGGAAAATGTATTAAGAATGGGAATAAATGAATAAATTTTGGTCTAAGAGTGTTGGAAGGTAAAAAAAAAACTTGGTGGCCCTAACAAAATTTCTTTGAAATTAATTAAATAAATGAATTAAACTAAAAAAATCAAGTTCCTTATCGATGCTTAAAGTTGAAAGTGCACCACTCGAGCTTTGGGCATCTCCAGGGCGCCCGTGTAACCAAGTGTCTAAAATATATGCAATACATATACTCTAGTATAGATCTGAAGGTTTCATGATCGTTAAGGTGATTTTCTCATTCATTTAAATATTAATATTTGCAAAAATCTCATACCAATTTAAAAAGCCTTCACATATTTATATCAACTGATAAACTCAAGTGTTTTATTTGTGCAAAGAACATATTTATAATACAATTATTTTAAGGTTTAAAATTTAAACAAAACATACACTGCTGAAATAAATTAGCGGAACGCGTTTTTGAAAGATAATCATTTTTTTTGAATGGCCGATCAAAATGTTTTATTCAATAAACATTTCCCTTCAAACAGCAAACAAAACATTTATTCCCAAACTACTCAATTCTCATGGACAATACTAAATGTGAAAAATTTCACGAAATCAAAGTGTTCCAAAACCATTTAGCAAATTTAAAAAACCTTTCAAGTCTATGGAAGAAGTAAACATCAGTTTTTGATGATGATATGCCTGGTGTATGAGACAGGGTGACATGCGTTCACTCAGTAAAATTGAAGTATCAAGAGCTGTTGCTTTGGTTGAAGATGGGCGTTCTATACGCTAGGTAGCAAATCAACTCCAGACAAGTTCATCTGTTATCTGCTGACTACAAAACCTTCTTAGAAATGCCACAGGAGTAGACATTTCTGACCAAACAGTTGGAAATCGACTAAAGGAAGCTGGTAGAAGTAGACCTGTGCGAGTACCTCGGCTAACTAGACTAAACAACTTCAGCACTGGAGATCAGCATTATTCACTGATGAGTCGCGGTTTTACTCTAACTAGTTGCGAGTCTACAGACATCCTGGTAAACAATACGCTAAATCCACTGTTTAGGAAATGGACAAATTTGCAGGCAGATCTGTAATGGTTTGGGGTGACATAATCATAGATTTATTAGTCTTTGGTAGTCGTTCCTCAACGCCTAACTGCAGAGATATAAGTAGATAACATCCTGCAAGAGCATATTTTACCATTTGTCAGCAATTTTGGTGATGGATTCCTTCTACAACAATACAATTGCAGAATTCATACTTACGAGAAACTTCCGGAAGCACGAAATTTCGGTCAGAGAGTGGCCAACTATGAGCCCCGATCTTAACCCTATCGACCTCGCATGGGACATGTAGGACAGACGTGTAAGATAGCACCCTGTTGATCTTTAGAAACTGTCAGAGGCTCTTTTGCAAGAATCGCGTAATCTACCTGAAGAATTTCTAAACAATCTCATTCAAAGCATGCCAAGCCGTAATCGATGCTAATGCGAATGCTTTACTGATATTCGATATACTCAGCGCAAGTGTTTTTTCTAATAATGAATAAATCCCCACTAGACAAATTTTGATAAATCATTCAATAAAAAAACAACTACCTTTCAAAAACGCGTTCCGCTAATTTTTTATTTGAGAAGTGTACTTATGTACCTATACATATTTTACGGCATAGGCGTTCGCTCAACTTCGGAAATTCGTAGTATTGTCAATTTTTGAGATAAACAAATCATTATTGGACTTTTCGAGATATATCGTGTACTCGAAAATAATTTTTGGACTTTATTTTTCTCGGGGACGTCATATATTTAAACTTATCATACACATACAATATTAATAATTTTCTTTGCAACTTAGATACGATATTATAAGGTATTAAAATACAGATAATAATAGATTAGTAAATCTGAATAAAATCATGTGATAAGATACCTTAAGCTTATTGGAAGCAGTCAAGTATTAAATTTGCAAATTTATGTAAGACAATTTTAAGATTAAAAACATGTCCAAGTTAATTGAAGTGATCACTGCTGACGGGGAAAGAACCAAAAATCACAGGCAGGTTTAAGTTTTCACATAGTGTTAAAATAACATGTTGGCAATGTTTTAATGTGTTTTATTTGATTTAAATGTTGTACACGTCATCTGAAGTAAGTAAAAACAGCATATTCAAATCATGAAACTTATTATGGAAATGATTTGTCCTTAAAAATATAATAATAAAATTGAAGAAATTGAGTCTGTTAACTACAGAAATACCAAGAGAAAGATTTAAAATCGCTGTTTTTAAAATAATGTGTAGGAAATTTCAGCTTAAACCGATTAAACACGTTGTAGTTTTAATTAAAATCGTCAATAATGAATATATTTTTGTTATCTTTTAGGTTTGGCAAGGATTACTACATTAAACAATCCAGTAAACCGGGTGGTTCGAAAGCTGAGGCCGAGGTAAGTTACGGAAGCCATATAAAGAAGCTCGAAGAAACTTCGACCTATTCTAGCCTACCAAGAAGCCTGTATTCGCCCAGAAATTCCAGTAAAAATTTCGTTCAAAACCCCCTGCTTAACTTTCCAGACAGTTACAGCTCTTTGTGATGTCAGTGTCTTTATTTATTTTTAAGATTATTACCAGATACCTAGAATCTCTAGTTTATTTATGGGTATAAGCTACATACAGTTAAAAGTAAATGCCAATTTGGTATATTATTAAGTATAGGTGTTAGCCCATGTTACTGTACATTTTGTTGAGTATTGTTGATATTGTGCAATAAATTTATATTTAAAACATATTCATATATTTTCTTATTCATTAAAATAATACGAGGTGCATAAATATATTTAAGCTGGTAAGTTTTTTGTTCATTATGTTAGGAGAAAGGCAATACTAACAATACTCAAAAGCTTATTAGATCCTTTTATGTTTAGCTTAAAACATTTTTTATTTTATAGGAATAATTTCATAGATTCATATTTAATAACCAGACATATTTCAGTTATTGCTTAGATTGTAGATTTTGCTGTACAAACACAAGCTTGGATAATATTTATATTTGGTATTTTTGGTTTTCATATTTCTAACTTTGGGCTAAAACAAGTGTAGTCGTTATTTTGCTTAAATTTTTAGAGAAAACCATTGAATCAGGTGGTGAATAAAATAACAAACTCTCATTTGATTACTAACATTTTCCTTTTTCAAAAACTCTTTCTTTTCGAAATTTAGGTATCATTACCTAAATGGCCTAGAAATATTGAGAACAAGGACCAATTAGAAAGCGAGGTACCCAAAGAAGAGGAAATTTACACTGCTAAACCCGCCATTGTGCAAGAAGAACCTGACGAAGAACCAATTAAACCCAAAATAATAACGGAACGAGCTGACACGAGTTTTTCCGAAATGACTAGCGATTCCGATGTTAGTTTCAATATGTACGATGTGGCAACAGCGCAAGTGTACCGGAAAAAGTTCAAAGAACCAGAAGTTGATGAGGACGTGGACAGGACTAGCAATGGAGACGTAAAAAGAAAAATCAACAAGTACAATGATAAGTCGAAATTTGGCAGTTTGGGTAAAGCAAATGCTTTTAATAAAATGAACAAACCAAAGCGTAGAACACAATCGGAAAATTGTTGGATTGGATCCAATAATGATTCCGTTGACTGGGATTCTTTGGAACTTGTGTCAATTGAGGAACCTTCTGTTGATATGAAAGAGACGACAAAGGAATTCCTTCATCATGAAAAGAGGCATTTGTTTTTTGAGGATATTAAAAAACCTGCTCCTAACGTTAGGACGGTTAATCGCCCGCCATTAGGTAAATATTTTATATAAAAATTGTTTATCTTCAAGGGGTCCATAATTTAAACTATATTCAACACTCACTACTAAAGTGATTGATTATAGCCGAGGCTGTTAAAATAATTCAGACCAATCGGTTGAAGTTTTTTATCTCCTAGACTGTAAAAAACCCGTTTGAACCATTCGAAAAATTCAATAGCTGTCATGACTACTTTTATTAAATATTATTACTACTTGTATGTATCGTTTAACAAATAAAATTGTGCCTGGAAGATAAAATGTTATATGCAATTTGGCCGAAAAGTGTCTTTTTGTGAACAAAAAGCACAATGACATAAATAATTATTTTATAAAGTAAAATTTAGTATAATTTAGGTACCTAATATCAAAAACAGCATACCTACTTCTGTAGTAAAAACGCCTCTGAATGTTTTTGAGACCAATTTTAATAAAGAATTTAGTTTTAATTTTAATTAAGGTATACCAGTCAGTTTTATTTTTTAAAACAAAGATGCACCGCTTTAAAACCGGCTTTAAGGCCTTAATTTTGAGACACTCTATTTAAATTTTATTACAATATTTATTAAATTAATACAACAAAAAATTAAATATTATATTATTGAATAAGGTTGGTATTCCATTTAGTTTTTATTGTATTTTTTGCAAACTGTTCATTGTTATTAAGAATATAAGATGTTTATAAATGACATTTCTACTATGGATAAAGATAATTGTTTAATTTATTTTGTTTATGTGTTTTTTAATATTTATTTGTTAGTTTTGTATATTTTTTCATTTGGTAAATTTAGTAAGAGTAGTACGTTATTTTACTAGGTTATTTATTTAATAACTTTTCTAAGGGTGTTATGTGATTTTAGCAAGATGGGTGAGTACTCCAAATATTTCAAATGGTTCATTTGATACTCCTCCAACAGTGGTTCGAAGAAAAAAAGACAACACGTTGATATCCAAAATTTATATGGACCCAAATGTACGAAAAGAAGCCTTAACTAAAAGGGAATATATACCGGATGAAGCCGATCGTATCGATACTCCAACTTTTAGAACTCAAAGTTCTCTGGACAGTACAAGTAGTCCAATATTGAGTAGTTCCTTGGTAAGTTTTTATCATTTTCAACTAAAGTGTTAAGAAACATTAATTCACTTACAGACACCCGAGCGTAAGAAATCTATAATTTCAAGTACACCTTCGGTAAGTCATGAACTAAAAAATAAAAATAATGTACCACCTCAAAATAATACCAGTTTTAACACATATGTGTTATATAAGTGGACAAATCCATATTTACCCATTAATGGGTCTAACAGTTCAAAAAAGTATAAACAATTGTTTCTTACACTAAAGTGTTATAACTACTTACCCAGATATCCAAACAGGGCAAAAATAAAGTAAAAATTGATATATGCAATTGTTTAATTCTACACGTAGTTGCGTACACATAATAAAGTTTTTAAAGGGCAATCGAATAATTCAAGCTCATAAAGCAACATTAAGCCAATTTTAACCTTATGTTAACCTTGTGTTAAAGAAATGTATATATTATATAAACTGCGCACCACTCAATGTGTCGCGACCAAAAAGTTCGTCCTTTTTCAAAACGACATAACTTTTTTGTTTCTTGAACGATTTTATTTAGATCTGTGATGTCTGCTAGCCCTATCCTCTGGCAATTCATGCTATACGAAGCTCACTGTTCTTCAAGAAAATTTCGTACAGGGTGATATGTTAAACGGTGAAAATTTTCAATAACTTCATCCAAGCCCCGTTTGTAAAAAAATAACTTTTTTCTCGTTTTTACTTTGAAATAATGAAGTATTATGTCTTACCTTGAAACGATTTTCAAATTTTTAGAATTGGAATCGTAGCAACAAAAATATGATTTTTTTTTCTAAAAGAGTACATTTAAGGCTTTTTTGTAGGCAATTTAACAGCCGGGAATTGTTTTCGAATTTTGATTATTAGTGATTTTGGTTTTATCTGAAACTTAAATTTGACAACTGAATCACAATCAGGAGGTCAAAATTATAATGAAAACATGTCACGAGCATAAATATCGGTTCAGGATTGGTTTTCGCAAATTTTCACCAAAATGTCATTTTAAAAAAGTTGTCTTTGCTTAGGCTCCTCTGAAAATAATGGAAGATTGTTGCTTGTCGCTTGTTCAGAATTATTCAAGGAACAATCTTTCATCATCTTCTCTCCTTGTTCTTAAAAATACTGAGGGTATTGCCTACCAAAAAGCCTTAAATGTACTCTTTTTTTAAAAAAATCATATTTTGCTAAGATTCCAATATGAAAAAATTTAAAACCTTTTCAAGGTAAGACATAATACTTCATTATTTCAAAGTAAAAACGAGAAAAAAAATATTTTTTTACAAACGGGGCTTGGATGAAGTTATTGAAATTTTTGACCGTTTTACATATCACCCTGTACGAAATTTACTTGAAGAACCGTGAGCTTTATATCTATAGCATGAATAGCCAGAGGATGGGGCTAGCAGGAATCACAGACCAAAATAAAATCGTTTAAGAAACAAAAAAGTTATGTCGTTTTAAAAAAGGACGAACTTTTTGGTCGCGACACATTGAGTGGTGCGCAGTTTATTTAGTATATATAAATATGATAACATAACGCAAAAATTGTGGTATAATTGGTAAATATAAGTTTTTATCAACCGTTAAAAAGTTAATACATAGGTAGTAATGGAATTACAATTTTTTTAAGTAAAAAATGTATATATTTTAAAATGTTGATTAAATGCATATATGTATGCATACGTATATATTTGCGTTGATTATGTGTATATGGGCGTATTTGCAATAATAACGCTAGTTATGTACACAAAATAATACAATAATAATCCAACGTTAAACACTACAAAATAATGTTAATATTGAGCAAATATTATCTTACACAATTATGTTAGTCACATACGGCTTTTATCATATACCTACATATGGCCAAATATTGAGATATAGCAAGAGTTTTATGCTGATTGGCTAAAATTGAGTGTCTCGGTAGAGTTTCAAACTCTAAGCTTAAAATTATCACCAATTAAGAATTTATTAACATATTTAAATGTAATTACAGATTTAACAAGTTAAAAATTATTAAATATAAATAGGATAAGAAAAGCAATATAAAATATGTCAAGTATAGGTAGTATTGTCTAGTCTTATCTATTTGTTATCTAACAAATAACCGATAGAGCCATATCAGGTTAAAAGTTGGCCAATAATTGCCCTTTCACCTTTGTAAAATTTTGGCAATAAATGTACACACATATATATATATATATATATATATATATATATGTATAAAGTCAACGATATCCTTTGGAGGACTGATAGACCAACTCATGACTAACCAGAAAATCACAACATGACCTTAGTAAAAAATCGTTTGGAACACCCTGTATATAAATATAGACTAGAAACTAAAACTTTTTTAATATACAAGCCGAAGTATTGCGACAATTTATTTGAACAAAAACGCTTTTTAAATAAATAGCTGCCCATGCATTTATACCCTTATATAATCTTGCATATAAACTTTAAAATCTATCCCCTTGGGGATAAATTTATTAAATTTGTTTGACTTTATTTTTTTCCCTTCATTGTACATAAATAAATATTTGTTTTATCTTTGCATAAAAATGTTAAAAATAATTTTATTGATTTACGTTTTTAATCCATTTTATTCTTGAAAAATACACAATTCAACCATCCTATGGTTAGGTGCTTTTCAAGAATTAAATGATATTGTGAAATGTAAACACTTTGTTATTATGTACCTACACCCTAATGATGAATAAATTTGAATTGGAAAATACTACAGTACATACGCACATATCCAATAAAAAAATTGTAAAATATCAAGGTGGTACGATATTTTTGTTGGAAATTGTTTGTCCTTTTTGTTCCTCATTAAGAACTGTATATTACAGACCGCCGAGCGTAAGAAATCTGTCCAATCCCTTGGCTTCAAAGTAGAAGAAAACAACAACTTTGAAATCCAGGAGGTCCAAACTGAAATGTTGTATAGTTCAGGAGATTCAGAAGACTTCAACAAAGTATTGGAACGCTTTAACTCGCAAGAAAGCATTAACAGCGTAGATAGGAAAAAGGAAATTGATCCGATATTGGACGAGATAAACCACAAGCATTTGGTGGCTGAACGTTTGGGAAAATTTTCAAAATCAATGCCGGACGTTGGTAATGAAAAACCTATTCCACAAATGAATTTGTCAAGAGAAATTAACAATAATATTATTGAAGAAGAAGAATTGAAGATTTCTGTGAAGGATTTAAGAAAACGTTTTGAAAGGGATGATGTAAGTTAATAAAACATTAACAATATTTTATAATTATAATTGAGGAGAGTGATGTTTCAAAGCGTTATAAATCCAATATTTTTTAGTAGTCCAATAGGTAATCGTTCATTATAAAAATTAATTTAATTTATGTTCTCTTTGACTCAAAAATAAAGAAGTTTTCGCGATTTACTTAAAATTTACTCAATGAGGATTTATTACGTTTTGTTTGATAGCATCCTCATTCAAGTTGATTATTTTCCAAAAATCTTACATTTTGAACAGTAATATTAACAACTTTTTAAAGTCTTGTCCTGAATCTGTAAAAATGACTTATCATGCAAACTTTTAGTTCAAACTTATATTTTTATTTTCCATTTCCTAATAGATACATAATATAACATAATCCAAATTAAACAAGTTTTTAATTGTGAAACCGTTTCTCTGAAATATCGTCCTATTATTTTTTATTCTTACTACGGTTTTGCTAAACAATTTCCCTTATTAAACCTTATTCGTTTTTATGTAAATTATTTTTTTACTTTTAGGAACCTAAAAATTTCATTGCCAACAGTCTAACCGCACGAACCTTAGGACGTGGAACAATTAATAATTTAAAGTAAGTTAAGAACTTTTAAAATAAATAGCAAATTTATATTGTTTATATTTTTTCAGGTTTAATTAAAAAGCTCAGTTAACAATATAATTTATTTATTCTAGTTATGTACAATTTAGTGCAAAGATGTTTAAACTGTTAATAGATATTTGTATATAACTATTTTTATACTTATATAAAGTTACCTTTAATTGTAGATATTATGAGAAGTGAATACCTTCTTTATTGAATGCGTGTAATAATCTGTAAAAAATGTATAAATAAAGTAATTTTATTAAACAGGTTATTTATTTTACCCCATAAAGTCATCAACATCCATTTCCCTTGCTCTTGTCAATTCTCTGCTGTTAGATTTAATTATTTCTTCTACTTTAGATTTAAAATCCAAATCTTCTTCAACATCCTTAAAAAATATGTTTTTTAATAAAATTAATATTAATAATAAATTTAATTACCTTATTATGTAAACTACAATGTAGTCTGTAATTTTTTTCTAATGTTGTTAATACTGAAGTCTGTTTGAAAATGCCTCCTAATACTTTATTTTTCCTATTGAAAGCAATTCTCGTTAAACCATCCCATTCTGTGTAAGATATTGGAGGAGGGGGGTTAATGGGTTCTATCCTAACCACCGCGGATTCAACTTTCGGTGGGGGTCTAAAGTTGTTTTTACCGACCTACAAAAATAACAATTAATACCTATTCCCACCTACTGGGGGGTAGTAATTGTAATAATATATTCTTCTACTCCTATTACACAATATGATTGTTCTAATATCACTTTTTAATGTGGAATGACATATTCCTTAGAGAATTACAGAATCATCGGATGACGGAATAAACACTGGTGGCGACATCTCTGTGTTGTGGAAACGTAAAAAAGTATAGTCTGAAACACGTTTTGAATTGAATATTTCGCTCTCGTGAAACCTAAAACTCGCCTTCGGCTCGTGTGACAAACTTTTCACTCAAGCGGAATATGCCGTATTCCAAACTAGTTACAGAATATACTATTTTCTAATATGACGGTTCTAATATCACTTTTTAATGTGGAATTACATATATTCCTTAGTGTTACAGAATGAATTCATTCTGTCACCGAATGACATTGTTTATTATCTAACAACTTTTAGACCGATCCAACCTCACTTTCTTTCAATTCAATTATTTGTCTATTGTATTTTCCTGTCTGAAACACAATTGCATATTCCGCAAAATATTCAAGTATCTCCTAGGCCTAAGTTTGTTGCATCCTAGACTGTAAAAAACCTACTTTATACTTTTAATAATTGTTATTATAATTATAAGTACGTTTTATATATCGTTTAACAAGTAAAACTGTGCCTTGAAGATAAAACTTATGGGTGAGATTATTAATTTTTAAAATATGGCGTATAATTTAAATATTTAAAAAATTTGCCTGAAACTTTTAATACTCATAATAAAGATTGGACATTAGGGTGTCCGTTATTTACCAAGTTGATTTTTTTTCTTGCGACGCCCCCTAAATTTTTAGTCTATCGTCTAAAAAAAAATTTCAGACCAAAATAAATTCTTAATATTCATAATAAACCTTGCCCCAAAGACGATACATTTCCCATTCAAATTACATGGGATTTTGGCACTTTTTTCAATTAATTCTTTTTTTCCCAGACAAGATGACTTACAGCAATGAGACATATATATTCTTATAGTAAATTGAACGCTCTATAAAAAAGGTCTCTTATAATTTTTCGATTAAATCACTCGTTAAAAAGTTATTCGAGGTGAAAGTTAAACTCTGTGTACATTTTCTGATTTTTTTTACTTTTACGGCAAAGTTATTATTATTTCGATGAAAGTTATTAGTATATTTCTGAAAATAGATAATTCTGGTGGTATTAGGGTATACAATTTTTAAACCTGGAAAATAATAGACTGCATGAGAAATGCAATAATTCATTATTTGTTTCAGCAATATTTATATGAAAAATCCGTCGAATTCTTTGATCAATTAAAAATTGTTTTGTCTCCTCGTCAATCATTTTAAAAACGTCATCATGAGCAATGTCAAATAATTGTTCGAGTTTATTTGACAAATCTTGCTCTTTTGTTTTATTTTTTTGGTTAAGTAAGTCATCTTGCCTGGGTAAAAAAGAATTAATTGAAAAAAGTGTCAAAATCCCATGTAATTTGAATGGGAAATGTATCGTCTTTGGGGCAAGGTTTATTATGAATATTAAGAATTTATTTTGGTCTGAAATTTTTTTTTAGACGATAGACTAAAAATTTAGGGGGCGTCGCAAGAAAAAAAATCAACTTGGTAAATAACGGACACCCTATTGGACATGTTTTAAGTAACTTTGTTTCAAATGTTTGAAAGTAGAATACACCCCTGAATTTTTCTCTCACGCAGAACGTTAACCAACATAGAAAAGTTTTTTTGCAATTTTAAGAATTTTTAATACCTAAAAATCTTACAATGGATTTCTTTGTAAAAAATAATAGTTTTTTTTCAATGACCATAATCTCTACTATTTAATAAATTTTCGTTTCCAAGTTTTCCAGAATTTTGTTAAAATTATAGTTAATTATGTCATAAGGCTGAGAATTGAGACTTTTTGTGCTAAGAGATTTTTTTTTACATCCTACCCTGTAAAAATTCGATAACTTCTGACAACTCTACTAAGGCTGTCTAAACATACTTTTAGGTAATAATAATTATTACCTAAAAGTATAACAATTATTGTTATTATAATTGAATCGGTGAGATTAAGAACAGTACAAGTCCAAAAATTTTATTTTGACAAATCATTTTCTAAAATCAATTTAAAATGCATTTTTGGGAGAATATATAAATCATTTTACAAAATATAGTTATTATAAAAATATAAAATAGTTGAAATATTCAAACAAAAATGCATTTTGAACTATAAAACTAATTTTATGAAATAATTTGTGAAAATCTTACCGATTCAATTGTAAGTAAATATTAAAAGGTTCAAAAAATTTACCTAAAGTTTTTAATATTCATAATAAAGATTGGACATGTTTGTAGGAATTTTTTTTTCAAATTTTTGATAGTAGAATACACCCCTGAGTTTTTTGACAAGCTTAAGGGCGTTAACCTAAATGAAAGAGTTTTTTTGCAATTTTAAGAATTTTAAATAGGTACCTAAAAACCTGCCAATGGATTCCTTAGTTAAAAATAATAGTTTTTTTTTCATATGAGCATAATCTCTACAGTTTAAACAATTTTCGTTTTCCAGTTACAGGGTGTTAAAAATTTCCATTTTCAAACACTAGAAGACAAGTTACCTTAATTTACCTGTGAAGGCTATGGAAAAACTGTTATTTATTGCTTTAATTATAGGAGAATGGAAAGAGATAAAAAGAAAATGCCATAGAAAAAATTAACAAACCAATATTTTTCAATGGCGTACCATTTCTTTCTTTTTAAAACAATATGGCAATATCCTTATGTACTCCATTGAGTAACCTACAAAGCCAATTTTTTTTAATTTTACACCCTGTAACTTGGAACTGACCCTTATATGAAAAAAGTTATTCTTTTTTACTAATAAATACCTACACTGTTAAATTTCTGCTGGACTCTGTATTTTTTCAATAAAAAAAACAAATGAAGGAACCATAAATGCTATTAGAACATCCCATCATAATGGTGGTCACCTAAAAGGGTTAGGCGCAAGGACAAAAAATGATTTCCTTTAAAATTTTAAACACATTCCTAATAGCATTAAAAGTTAGTTTTTAATAAAACTTTAGCAGAATCTATAAATATTTTTTCCTGTACATCAATTTGGGTCAGCATTTTTCAATTTGTTATTTTTTAAATATCGATGTACAAATAAAAAATATACAAAATTTAAACAAAATTATTAAGTAATTTTATTTAAAAAAGGTCGAAAACTTGCAAAATACTATTAAACTATACTATTTTGTGTACTCCCTTGAAAAATATCTAATCTTAAATTAACTTACATTCATTAACATGCTAACCCTGGACAAAAGCTGGGTATTTACTGATAACCTACAATACAATTTGTCACCAGGTTTGGCCACTAGTCTTTCAGCAAACTCTTTCTGAAACATCAAAACTGCACAGCGAAAAAAAGGCCTGTGTAACAACAACTTAAACACCAAAGGCGAAGATATCTGATAGGGCACGTTAGCCACACAAATATTAAAAAAAGGTAACTCAGTTTTTAAAACATCCCCTATCAAAATTTGCAGTTTTTGTTGATATGGGGTACCTTGTACTCTTTTTTGTAATTCAGCAACTAGCCTTGTATCAATTTCGCAGGCTACTACTTGTTTGACCTGTTCCAATATTTTTACTGTCATGTTTCCTGTACCAGGACCTATTTCAAGGCATGTGTCTGTTGGTCGTAAGTCTGCTTTTAATAACATTGAGGTTATAATCATAGGATTTTTGAGTATGTGTTGGCCAAAGCTTTTGTTAAACATAATTCCTAAAAATAATTTAATTAAGTACAAATAAATTGGTTTTAGTTATATAAATATTTATTGATTTTTATCCTACCTTGTTTAGCCACCTCATTGTGAATTCTAGTTTTCTTTTCTGCTTTAATTTTGGGCATTTTCTTTTATTTTATGAAAAAAACTGTAAATAAACAGACCACACGTGTTTATAACTTTTGACGTTTACTTTTGAGGTTAGTTTTGTGCACAGAACACTATTTCTCAAAAACATAAGATTTCGTGTTGCCAACTTATTTTTTTTAAATATGCGGGAAGTTTGAATTCTAGGATATTTAAAAAATATATATTTTTAATTTTATCTTAGTAATACGGATGTTTACAGTGTAAACAATTAACTTATTTAATTATAAACAGTTTAACGAAAGTATTTTCAAAGAATTTTTAAGTGGAACATCATTAAAGTAGGTTTAAAAACAAACTTAATCAATATTTGATTTTATTTTTATCGGCTTAAATAGCCTACAAACATTTTGATTAATGAATGACTTTGAAAAATACCGTATATAACGTAATTTATGTGGCAAGAGTTGTTTTTTTACTACCGTTATAGACTAGTTTTTTAAAAGGCGGAACGTACGTTAAACGTAAAACAGTGATTTATGGAAACGTACCTATTTAGTTTGAATTCTTTGTATCTATCTATCACTTGAATAAATATCGATTTGACCGTTATCTGAGAATACAAATGAATTTGAACTTGAGCGTCTTTCCAAAATTTCCATAGGTAATAATTAATTAGAAGTCCGCTTTCACAAAATTTACCTAAAAACATATTAGAGCGGAATAAACACAATAAATAAATGCTTTCTTTGTCAAATTGATCAAGATGACAGTTTTATGCACCAAAGTTCAGCAAAGCTCTGCAGACGTATAAGAGATCCACCTATAAAAAAATGGTTCTCAATATCTGCTGAACTTTGGTGCATAAAACTGCATGCATCATAAAAAAACTAAACGGAAATTTAAGTAGGTAGGTATTAATAAAATAACAAAAATTAGATGAGCTTGCTTAAACAGTTAAAAATAAATTCGTACATCGCATATATATTATCTTAAACTTAATCGTGTCAATCACAAATACCTAACATCAATAGCAATTAAAAATGTAGAACAAAAGCGAATAAATTTACTATCGGATCGTAGGGTACCTACATGATAAAAAAAAAATAACGGTGAGCTGGCCTTGAACTCTACTTCTTGCAGTTCTTCAGATACAGCATCTTCGATGGACCGGTTACCGTGACATTGGTATCTTAAATATCTACCAGGAGGCGTCTATATATTTATAGAGAAAAATTACCTTTTTGAAATTGTACCTCTTTGTTATTTTCTGGGACAGCATAAACCTTTTATTATACATAAATATGTATATAGTAGGAATCTAAAGGAAAAAATAAATAAAAGTATATTTTAAAATTGTCTGTAGTAAAAAATCCAAATTTAAATTTATTTTTACAGTGTCCCGAGCTGGCACACGGCGTCAAGTTTATTTTCACTATAATTTTTAGTAAGTATGTACCTATAGGCTATACGTATACCTAAATACTCATGAGTATAGGTATGATTTTTTAATTGAATATTTTTTTATGTTCTTTTGACTCAATTAACGACTAATTAAGTAATATAATGTGAAAAAAAAATTGTGCCTACTGGGGTTTTAAAAATAAGAAAAATTTGAAAAATTTGATTTTTTGCAATGTCAGTAGAAATTTTTTAATAATACCTACCTACTGATTTAAAATCTTTTTTACTGTGGCACCAAAAAAGTTTTTCATGTAAGATACTGTTCCAGACCCTCCCCGCTCTCCACCACTTATAGAGTTGCTAAATTATAAGTACCTAATAAAAAAATATATAAACTGCTCAAATGTTAATAAGGAATTTTTAATTAACTATTTATAATAATAAATTAAATATAAAATATTTTTTTACGGATATAACAACTCATATTGATCAGAATAATTAATAGTTTTCTGCTTATTTATGTTATATTAAAAATTCCATATTAACTTTTGAAAAGTTTATTTGTCATTACCTACTATTGGTTTGATTTTCATTATAAAAAATAAAATTAATTAAATATAAGTACCTGATACAGGCTGTCCCAAAAAAGGCGCACTAACTAAGTGAGTTATTTAAGTATAAAAATATTACTCTTTTATGGTAGTTTTTGAGTTATTATTATAATTATTAAAAACTTTTTAATTAATGCTGAAGAATTTGGGTTTGAAAATTTTGAGTACGCTGTGTATAAATTAGGAAAGCTTAATATATTTATTTATTTATTTGTATCCAACAGGCCCAGGGCCCAATAACAGGAAAACGTTTTTATACATTTTATCTTAACTCCAACTTCAAACTTAAATAATATCCATATCCATATAATAAGTAGGTACAACAAGAATATAGAGCGACACTTTTTTGCACGTATATATACATACATATACGTGCAAAAAAATGTCGCTCTATATGAGGATTTTTTATAACGCGCCAGAGGCGAGTTAAAAAACTTGTATTGCTAAACAAGTGGATTTATATTCGAGTTGCATACAATATTTTTTCTAATACCATAATAATTTCATAAATATTTACTAAAAATTTGAAGAAAAAATTTTGACATTTACAATTATATTATTTTGACATGTATGACAAAACTTTTTTAAATTTGTTAGTATTAATTGTTTTTTGAATAAAAATTATTTTATTTAAATAATAATTAGTTAGTATATGTGCTGATTTAGTTGCAGTGCAAACATAGGAGTGCACTGTCAAAAATGACACTTAAATGTCAACAAAAAAGACGACTTTTTGACAATGGTATTAAAAAAAACCTTTTATGTATATAATATAATTACCTATATAAATAGAAAGTATACCGACATTAGGAACATGTTACCTCCCAAAATTTTTAACTGAAAGTTTTTTTAACAGGTAAAAATTAATAAACACAATTTTAATATCAATATTTTCAAAATCATTTAATAAAATGTATGAAAATTTCTACTTTTTAATCGTGATTACGTTGTCCCACCGAAATCTTTCTTTGAATGTATCTAAAATCAACGGTGGGCCGATGTCGAAATTATTGTCTAGAATTTTTTTGTCTAGTTTTTAATTTTGTATGTTTGGGGAAATTTTATTTCATAATATCTATTTTTAATACTAAAAAATATATATAAATAAATACTAATAGAAAGAAATTTTCCAAAGTCGCGATGTTTCAAAAATTTCTTACTAAAAAAAAAGTTATGATATTTTAATGTTTTGATGTCAAAAAATGTATTCACTTTTACCCACAGGTTTAACAAATAAATGTTTTATGCCATTTGGCCAATAAGTGTGTTTAGCTCAAACTTTGAGCTTAGCACAAAAAGACTTCTTGACCCAATGACATACAATTTATAAATATTTTTGAAATATATTTTAAATAAAATTAATAGAAAGGATAAGGTTTGACAATGCCAAATTGGCATACTGAACAAAGTTTTTAGGTAGTAGTACGTATACTGTTGTATGAGTTATGCAGGTACAGGGTGTTTTCGTATAAATGGGACGCCTTTCTTAAATCTTTATTAAAACATCCAGGAAGGATATTTTTTTCTTTTGAAAAGAAAAAAATATCCTTCCTGGATGTTTTAAAAAAGTAACTTTTTTGACAAAAATTAAAAAACAAAAAATCATCGGTAAACATAATACAATAGATGTTAGGTACATTGTTTTTTTTAATGGAACACCCTGTATATTTTTAAATTTTTAGATTGAGTTTTTTATTCTAATTTTTAAAATATATAATTTTTATATGTTTGAATTAAACATTTCATTAATAATTGAAACAAAAACCTGACTTATTTTAACGTAAAAATCATAGTTGCCATGGATAAAGAATTCACTTCGTAAAATAACTACCTACCTATATTTTTATTGTAATAATAATAATTATAATTTTTAACAAAACGCTAATAATTGTTTCAAAAACCATGTCAAAAATATTACTTTTTTAAGCCATGCAAGTTGTGTTTTAAACTTTTTCGATATCTCTTCTAATAAAGATTTTATAGAGGTGTCCCATTTATAAGAAAACGCCCTGTACATATAACATATTATGTTTATTAATTATAATCATAACATGTGAGCACTTTTCAGGTAGCTGTTAAATTTTTTTTTTTATAAATTTCACTTATTTACTAGGGTGGGCCGATTTTATATTTAACTTATATATATAACTTTTATATAAATATTAAATTCTGCATTTAAGACAAAGTTGTGAAATAGGAAAGTAAACATTTTTTGCAAAATATTTTTTGTGATATCTATATGTTTTGAACAATGCCCCTGAAATTTAAAAGTAATTTTTAAAAATTTAAAATTATTCATAAGCGGGAAAGTTGTAAAAGTAAACTATTTTCCTTTAATATTTTTTTTCTTTTTTAATGTTTACTGTATGAAGTCAAACTGTATATTTTAAATTTTGCAATAATTGCAATTATTGGAGAGACGGCGTAAAATGGAGAATAAATATTTTTTAAGATTTTCGTGTTTGACGTAGGACAGTTGACAGTTGGCTTCACTGTTTATATAAATTATAATATTTTGACATCGTCAATTAGTTGAATAATAGAAATTTTTACAAGTAGTATCTGTTTGTGGTTTTTGGGTGTTTGTGAAAAATGGCAGGTAAAACAGGATTATAAATTGAATTAAATTTGTGTTGATGATAAATAATTATAAATACGAAAAAAATTATCTGAGAGAAAATAGGGTTAAAAAAAGTTTTGAATGATAAATATTTATTAAAAAAAAACAAAAATAAAAATTAATTATTAATTTTTATTTTTGTTTTTTTTTATAAATATTTATCATTCAAAACTTTTTTTAACCCTATTTTCTCTCAGATAATTTTTTTTTTCGTATTTATAACGATACTAAATTACATTAAGATCTTTCAAGGCCTTGCGGCAGTTTAATAAATTAAAATAAAAATAAAAACTCTTATTTTTCTGGCCTTATAAATGCACAACTTTTCCACCATTGAACAATTTGATATTTGAAAAATATTAAAATCGGCCCACCCTATTATTTACCTTTAAAGATTGCAATTTTTAATTTAACAGATGAGTTTACCCATATTACAATTATTTATAAATTATAAAAAATTAAAAATAGCCTAAATTATTGGTATATTTTTTTTCTGGGATGATCTCACGAGACCTTTTAAATACTTGTATGTAAACGTTAAATACAAAAAGAAACTTCAAAGAACAATTCAATTTTTCTTTTATATTTAGTCAACTACTAAATTTATTCCAGAGTATATTTTTTTGCACGCATTCAGTTTATTAACACACTTTTGGTGTGCTTGTTTTTGTCGAAGAAATTACCATAAATCAATAAATAATTTCTATCTTATTTCCACTAATTCCATCACTTTTCGCGGTACCTTATACATAAAAACGAACACACCAAGTATACGGACCGGTCCCCGTACATTAATGGAGTTACGCCTAAACCTCCGCTATAAAATGCTGCGAAAGAGTTCATCCACTTTAGTTTCAGTTTAACCATCATGCTAAATAAATGTTTAATCTTTCTGGGTATAGCGTTGGCTGTACAGGGTGGCTTAATTACTCGCAACATTAAAAACATCCCTGTTGAGGTACGTTACGATGACAAACCAGAGTCTAGTGACAGTGTTAAATTTTTGGCACCAGAGCGATTGTACGCAGAAAGAAATTTAGACGAAAAAGTACAACTATCGCCAAGTGATTTAAAAGAGGCTTCCAAGCATATTCCTGTAAAGGAAGAGATAATTCCTGAGAATTTGGATGTTAAAAATGCCATAGGTGGGGAATCAAGTGACTTCGAAAAATTAGGAGAAACTAATCAAGTTCAGTTATCATCTTTAATTCAGAAAGTCCAACATTACGTTGTCGATAGCGTTAAAGGATGGAGGAAACAATTAGAAAACGAAAAACACCAGCCTACACCCGAACAATGGGAAACCTATGAAAAAAAAGTTCAAGAATTATTTGAAGCAGAAAAGAACAAGGCAACTTTATTAAAGCAAGATCAGAATCAAAATCAAATTTCAAGTATCTTCGTAAATATGGGAAATAGTATACAGAATTTGACGCAACAATTTATAAGCAATGTTGTTGGTCAAACCACCAACAACAATAATGGTACACAAAGTGATGAGACAAACCAAAACATTTCACAGATGTTTATGCAAATCATGAATAATGGTAAATTAAATTTTATTTCATATAGTTAGATACATTTTATTTTTTTAAGGTGTTGTTAATTTACAAAACCAGATCGGAACTGTATTTGGTGGAGGCAGTAATAATAGTACAAACTTAAGTGATACTCCAGCCCCTTCTAATCCGGGTAACATTATTTCAAATTTTTTTGACCGAGTACAAAGTGTTTTCACGGGAAATCAAAACGTAAACATAAATGGAAACGGAACACAAGGGGATGAAGCTGGTCAAAATCAACAAATTGGACCCATCCAATCCATTCAAAACTTTGGTGGGTCAATAAGTAAGAAAAACACTTTTTTAAATTAATACAAGACATAATTTTCGTTAAATTTACAGATACCGCTTTTAACGGGTTTATTAGTCAAATCATCCCTCAACCTCAAAAACCTGCAAACGCCTCTGGAGACGAAGCTGGAGCCCCGACCACCACGAACAACAACCCTGCTCAAGTTTTTCAGGGAGTTTCAAATCTACTTGGAAACTTTGTAAACAACTTTATTTCTGGAAGCAACAACCAAGGACAATCTCCAGCTGAAGTTGGATCAACAGGTGGTTCCATCCCCAACCCAATCCAACAAATTAGCAACCAAGTTAATGAAATCGCTGCCAATAATCCTTTACAGCCAGTTCAAAATGCTATCGCAGGTGGATCTGATACTAAAAACCCTACCGAACCGGCCAAGGAACCTGTCAAGGATAAACCAATGCAACAAGAACCTGAGAAAAACGAACCCATTAAAGAACCAGTTTTAATTATAAAAGCACCCAAAGAAAACCCAATGAAAAAACCTGTTAAGGAAGAAATAATGAAACCATTAAACCCAATTAAGGAAACCGTTAAAGAAGAGCCCATAAAGCCAATAAAACTGGAAGAACCCTCTACCGACAAAAAAGAAATGATGATGACGATGGAATAGTGCTAAAAGTTCTGCGAAATAATTTTATAATGTTTAGGTTCTATTTATTTAAATTATTTACTTTTTCAATTATTTTTGCAAAACATAGTTATATTAACTATTTTTATAAATTATATCAATTTGATAAACATTTTCATTGGCTAAAACAAAAGTAACTAAACTTACTCGAACCCACTGGATATATTCGGTAAACCAAATTTGGCTGCCAAACATAGGTATTTAAAATGAACATAAAAAGCCGGCAGACCATATGGTATTATTAAATACTGATTTTTTAATTTTAATAAAAAATTTATATAATTTTATAGTATTTTTTTGTTTTATGTACGGGAATAGGTTCTATTTAAAAGGTATATAAGGTAAGTGTAAGAAACATTAAATAAAAACATCATTTTAAAGAAAATGTATTGCCCTTTCAAAAGAATTGTCACCCTGAAAACAAAAGTACACGGGTCTAAAGATTTTTATGTACAAAGCCGGATTGTTTTTGATGGGCCACCCTGTATATATGCCCTATATCTGAACATGCCAGTAAACAAAATATTCAACTGGGAAAAATTCTGAATTTAAATTTTTGTCTATTGTTATTTCGATACTATTGTTTTTTATTGATTTGGGTTCTATAATTGTTTATATTTCGAATAAAATTTTATTTTTCATAAAAAATTCCCAAAAAAAACATGATTATACCAAAAAATTAACTTAGATCGTGTTAAGGCACGTGTTGTTTTTAATAAAAAAAATCCCATTGTTTTTTCATCAAAAAGAAGCTTAATTTTTAACGACCACCCTAATATATATATATATATATATATATATATATATATATTAGGGTGCTTAAAAACCTCTCAAATGTTTCTATTTAATATAAAAAAAATCCTCAGCCGTTCCAGCTCAACTCTAAGAGGTCGCTGTTTTTATTTTAGTTTCCCATTTAATTAACACGGGAAAAAATAACTTTATGTTTGGAATTTTATACGTCTGTATCAAAGTAACTTATGGCAATGATCATTGAAATTTCTTATATAAAATGTAACACTCTACAAAAAAGGTCTCTTATTATTTTTCGATAAATTGATTTCTATTCCTATTCATATCTTTAAGCCGAGGTAAGATAAGCGAGATAATGGACTTAGCTTCGAAAACGGACACCCTGTATATTGCATGCCATAATAATTGCTGTAACATACTATTGAGTTTATAAAGTTCATGTTAGATATATGTTTCTTACCCAAGTAATTTAAAATGTTGGTAAATAAGTAACAAAAAAGTTTTAAAATTAACTTTCATTTTATTTACATGAACAACCGTTTATTTTAATCAGTATATTAGCCAATTAACCAAAAACCTGGAGACGTAACTATAGTCCCACAGGGGTTGCAACCACAACCACTAACAACAGCCCTATTTAAGTTTTTCAAATTCCAAATCTGATTAGAAACGCTGTAAACAACTTTCTGGAAACAATAACTAAGGAGAAGCTCCAGCTGCGGTGGATTAACAGATGAATCCAGTAATAACCCAATCCAAAAAATTGGAAACAGTTAATCAAATAGCTGAAAATAACCCATTACAGCTTGCTGGTGAATCTTATATCAAAAACCCTATTGAACCGGATCCTTATCTTAACTTGTCGAGGACAACAAATAAAGCTGTCAAATGTTCAAATATGGAAGCTTCCAAAGAAAGCCATATAAAGGGAAAAACATTAAATGTTAAATAAGAACCAATTAAACTAGAAGAACTTACAAGCGACAAAAAATATATTATGATGACGAAAGTTCTGCAAAATAATTTTAGATTATAATTACCTATATTGATTGTCTAAGTCACTGGTGTAATGAACGTGAATTAATATAGTATATTTTAAAAATAGATTGACCGAGTGTAAGTTGGTATCCCTGGACGCATTTCAAACTCATTTCCTGGCTTGCTTTATTGTATCGGAATTTTATTGACAATCTTTTGGTTTAACAGTAGTCCTCAATAAATTTGTTTTTTAATTCCAAAAAATTATTAATAAAAACCTTTTTATAATTTGAAAGCAGAGTATCCAAACAATTTTTTGTATTATTATAATAAATTTGCATTTATTAGAATATTGTAGGTATAAATTTTTGACCATAGGTTATAATTTTTATTTTAAACACAAATATAGAATAGTTAACGTAGTTGCATAACTTAATAAACAATTGTATTTATCTTGGTAACTCGTCAACTTAGATCATCCATGTTTCGTTTTTCTTAAATACTGTTACCTATTATAGCTGGATTTTTACAGCACACATTAACATTAAGCTAATTTAAGGTGGGTATTTTAAGCAGCATTAAGTTTTAAAACATAAAAAATAATGGGTTTAGCTTCACAGTGGTCACATAATAATGACGCCAAAAACTGACTGCAGTATTTAATAAGGATGTCCTCTGAAGTTTAAAAATATGTTTTTTTAAATTGTAGCTGATCCTTTTTTGAAGTTTTGCTTTTAAAATATTCCAAATATCAAAGGTCATTTGGTGATTCATTTTAGGTTTTTGCTATTATCTTTAAAACGGAGGCCTTTGGAAAAATGTTTGAATAAGGAAATAAAGGTGACTTTATTTATTAAATGATGCCTCCATACCTAAACTATTGGCCTACGAAATCCATGGACGTAGTCGTGAATTTTTTAGGTTTAACTGGGTATGTTACATTTTTTTGTAGATAACCTGCCATAGGTCACTTTTAACATTGCAACATCTTTTTTTTTCAATAAATATAACCTATATAAAACAAAAAAGACAGTAAGTACTTAATAATAATTATTGTCAAATATTATTTATTAATCAAAGTAAAGTTATCAGCATGAGAAAAAGCATTAAATATTGTTTGATGAAAACTCTACAACTGCTCTTTTTAACGACTATTTGAGGTTAGGATGTGCCATGTTGTTTATCTTGTATTTATTCCAAATAATTTATAAACTCGCGGTGGACAGTAATTAATTAGTACATGCATTTTTAAAGTTTAAGATATATCAGCAGCTTTAAACCTAACTAATAATGTTTGGATGTGAATTTTTATTTAGTCCAAATTTGGCGTAAAATAATTCTAAAACTAATATATTCATAGTCTTAAATTAGGACACGTACACTGAGAAAAAAATGGGACAAATAAAATGTTTACCTAATACTTTTATTTGTAGTGAATATATTGTTTATTACCTCTAAATATTCGAAATAATAACGATAAATATACTTTAGTAAAACTTTATATGTCAGGAATAAAAATATATTTAGGATAAATAAACTGTACCCTTGTCCCATATTTAAATATTTTTTTTATTTGGGAGCAATAAACTTTTTTCTCCGTGTATGGTAAAATGACCAAAGGACTAACAGTTTGAAAAAAATCTTGTCAGGATGTTTCAGAAGCATTTAACATCCATTTCCCTCAAATATATCACCTTGGTAGTTCTTAGAGACCAAATTCAGTGTTTTAGGCCATCTCAACGCCTGTTCTTTTTCCAGAAGTTTCTCTAGTCCGTCCAAAATACATAGTGTTGCCTGGCAAAGGTGATGGCTAACTAGATTTCTTTATTTACCCCTTGTTGGCAATTTACAATAAGAATTTAATTTAAGCAACTGATGGTAGTATTATTGCATGAGCAAATACATCAACTGAACATACATTACTTAGGTACTCAATTTATTTAAGGGTCCTGCTTTTTTAAAATACATATTTTTTTAATAGATAAACCATTTTCTGTTGTTGGAGCATCATTTAATAAAGAATTTTGTCGTCTTTAATTCTTTATTTTAAAATTTTTCCTAAAGGGCTCAGTTTTAAAGAAAAGTGCAAAAAATCTTAAATAAGTCACTAAATTACAGTTGTATATGAGTTAACTTCAAAAAAAGGATCACCTACAATTTTGAAAAACCTGTTTTTAAACTCTAGAGAGGGTCCTTATTCCGATAACGCTTTTAGTTTTTGGTGTCATTTTTATGTGACCTATGACTAGACTAGGCATTCGGTAAAATTTGTCTAGCCATAGAGACTGCCTTTCCGCTGGAACAATGAGTTAAAACTTATAACGAGTCATTTTGAGTGTTTCTGCGTGCAGTAGATTCCGAATTCCAGTAGACCGGACAGGCCCGGATGAAATACAAGACCAGCAAGGATGTCCATTGGACATTGGACATTGTCCAAGTATCGTACTAATAACCCATGCCTCATTCATGAACCCCAATTGAATGAGGTCATTACTAATACCCTGGTTGAGAAGGAGCCCGGATTGTACTTAGTTTTGGGTCAGTTCAAGGACCCCAAAAACCAACTTGTCCCTTCTTGTCCTAGACTCCACTAGCCTAAATCGGGCGTATGGTCGGCACGGCGACAAAATTCCGGGAATGGCCTTACCATCGACACTGTCATCCACGACCTCCTAGGGAAGAAAATTCGGATCCACCAAACACAGGTACTCATTCAGGACCCCTGTGACTTGTGTATATTTTTTCACGTATTATTATATAAATTAGGCCTTATGTCCCTAATGTTTAAACAATGGTTTTATTAGAAATTATTGTTTTGTTTTATGAGGAAATGCATTTTAGGATTTTATACGCATGCGTTTGGCAACATGACACATAGGTACCTATGTCAACAATTAATTATTACAAAAAATAATTGGTAAATTGATTGTTATCTGTTAACATCACACCATAGACAATGATTAACAGTTAGACTAGATTAGAAAATTAGATTTTATCATAGCAAAATGACATGTAAATTTGAGCGTGTGTTGTGTCTCGTGTTTGAAGTGTCTATTTGTGTGTGTGTCTGACGTAATATAAATAACCTCTAGCTAAAAGTATCGAATTTGGTCAATTCATTTTGACACTGTCTATTATTGTTTTTTGTTATCATGATTAATATAAAAATTAAACTACCACTTTATTATTAGGCAATGTTGCCATTTAAATAATGAAGGTAACATTTTGTTAACGATTTTCTAGGATTCCTGGAGGTCTGTAGACCTTTAAGGTGGTGCGTAACTTTTGGGACAATCTGTATATTTAATATATTTCTTTAATTAAATCGATCGAACTAATTTGATTTAGATGCACTGATTTTCTTTCGCCTATTGTTTCGCGTTGACAAAAGACATTCAATCTGCGTCAGTTTCAATTAATCTGGTGGGCGAGCTGTGTACATCGGACCGCAGAGTACTGTGATGTGTCGCAATCGATCATAGACGGCCTGGATATTTTTTTGAGTGCACCAAATGGCAATTGCTTTGAAATTCGAAAAACCGGATAATCAAACGCAGTGGGGTTTCCGATTGGTTGGAGGAGCTGATTTCGAAACACCATTGGTCGTCGTCAAGGTAACGGTTTATGGTGTTATGGGAAGAATTTATGGAATTCGTAAAATTTTATTAGGTACATGAAAAAAGTTTGGCAGAACAATTAGGTCTAGAGGAAGGTGATATAATAGTTAGGATAAATAATACACCTACAGCAGGTTTAACCCATATTGAAGCTCATGAACTTTTACTAAGAGCTGGAAATGAGTTCGAATTGGGAATCCGAAGGTATTTTCTTTTTAATAAGCTAAAACAATCAAATTCATTAAATTTTTTTAGAGGAGACATTCTATACTACCAGCAATGGGTTAATGTAAGTATAAACTAATTTTTAAAAAGAAATACAAAACATTGGAAATATTTAAGGATATTCAAAACAATGTTGAAGTATCTGAAATATTGAAAAGTACATTGCAAGCCGAAGGCAATCATCAACAATTAATGCAACTTATAAATGAAGGTCAAAATACGGATACCAAGTTAATAGAAACTGTCAGAACAAATATTGAAGAAGAATCCTCCGTTTCAGAAAACTTATCTGGGTATGTAAAAATATTTATCAATTACAATTTTTACATTTTAATTTTAGTCAAGAAAAAATAATTGATCCAATGAAATTAATTAAAGAAGGGAAAAAATGGTCGACATTTCTCCAAAAACCTGACAACCCAATAGTCATATCGAAAAAGGAAAAGGATGAAAAAAAATCGCAAGGTGCGCCTTATCGCGTTGTTATAAAAAAACAAAAAAGAAGGGGCGGACCAAGAAGGGTACAATTTGAAGAAGCAGATGTAGAAATAAAGGAAATTGAATCAACCACAGTGGAAGAAACTACTGAAAAACATCATATAGAAGAAACAGAAAAGGAAGGAACTGAAATTCAAGCATCTGAAATAGAAGTAGAGCTCAAAGTAACCGAAAAAGAAGAAATTGATGTTTATATTGAAGAAGGTGATAATGCTGTGGATGACAATGTAGAATGTCATTACGAAGTGGAAGAAGTGGAAGAAACTATAACTAAAGTCAAAAGTGAAACAGTTTGTGAATCTTCATTGTCATTGGAAGAACAATTAATACAAGTTCAAAGGCAATTGCAGGCCTTATCTGCAATACCATCAGAAATTCAAGTAACTTTGGATGCTGTGACGCAACAACTGGCACAAATTGTTGGGGTTAATACAAAATCAGAGGAAGAACAAAGAAATGACGAAAATAATGAAGAAAATGGGGAAAATAATGAAGAAAATGGGGAAAATAATGAAGAAAATGGGGAAAATAATAAAAAAAATGAAGGTATTTACATATTTTTGTTATCATCATCAAGAGCACTATATTAAGATAATAGTTAATAATAATAATAGTTAATAATGTTAAGATCACAATTTAATCACAATTTATTAATTTTTAGAAGAAGAATCTATACCTGACAATGATCAAGCAGAAGGGGACATTACAGATGAGGAAGACAATAAACAAAATGAAAATAATGAAACAGAAATAAAACAAAGTGAAACAGAAAATGAAAAAGAAAGTACACAAGCAGTGGAAGAAGTTGTTTCCGAAGAGCCAGAGGATACAATGACAGAAGAAGAAAAGGAAGCAATAAGAATCGAGCAAGAAAAAGAAGCAAAAAAGCAAAAGGTAAACATTTTAATTAAATAAGGATATAAATAAGTGCAATTAAATTTAATTAATGTAACAAACATTAAGGAATTTACTATTTTGCCAAGATATTTCCACGTGACTATTGAGTGGGAAGAATAATAAACAAATATAAAATCGTTGACAAGCTTTTAACTTAGCAAACTGTTTATTATTTTAGCCCAGGGTAAGTTACTTATTATTTATTTTTAAATAAAACCTATTAAATTTGGATATAAAATTGTTACATACTATACTATAGGATATGGATATGCGCCCTATTCAAAGACCTATAATTCTACCAGGTGGTAGAAAATGGACAGATGCTGATGATGCCTGTCCAAAGGTTCGAAATCCTAAAATGACCGACGAAAAAATCGCTAGCACAATCGAAACCTATTCGGAGGTCATAGTTGGCAAAGCTAAAGGGTAGGCACGATTGCTGTGAGGTTTTACTGAAGTGGGTCCTAATTTTCAGGTTAACCACTGGAACCAGGTTTGGCCATGGTCTGACGTCACCAAGCCAGTCTACAGGTACTGTAAGATTTTTGTTTTTATATTTTGTTTGTTTTGCAATGAAATTTTTGTATTTAATTTAGTTAACGTAACATGTTGCAGATTGTCTACATATTTGCCCTATTAAGTTATTATTGACAATAACTACATATTTTTATTTGTGTGTTTTTATTTTATAAAATTTTCAGAGAATCAAATTGTTATTTAGTACCAAGTAAAGCTATAGCAACAAATCGGTAAGTTGTTAATTTATTTATTAATTATAAACAGTTTTAATATACAATATTATTATTTTCCAATTGCCAACTTCTGTTCAGTAAAACTAAACGAACTAATTTCATTCACTAAATCATACTTACCTGCTAACACAGTTAATGTTATTAAACACAACTTATATCGGGTTAATTTAAAAAACGCCTCAATTACATAATTTTAGCCCTTAAAACGAACATTATACACTATTACAAGGTAGGGAAATGTATAATTATTACGATAAGATTTTTGTAACTAATAATTATATAACTTTTTTGAAGTTAACTAATTTTTTCCTTTTTAGCATCAACTTTTTAAAATACACTCCTCCACCAAAGAATCTGGACTACCTTCAAAGATCTGAGGTATACAAGTTGATTCATGACCAGGAACCACCTGTTCGAGGTATCAGCACTAGAATGGAGAAAATCATGTCTGAACAAGATTACTTAGTAAGAAATTAGAAAAATATAATTTTTTTTATGAAAATTACATAATATCGAAAATGTTATCATTTTTTATTGTTTCAGCCCCATGGGGAACCTTAGAATAGTTAGGTTATAAAATCAACATTTGTTATAGATATTTAAGGTATATTTAATTATTGGTGTGAAAGATAAATAAATTATTTCAATAATAAATATTTTTAATGTTACTGCTTTATTTTGTTTTTAGCAAATTTTTTGCTTAGTCCACTCGTTTAAAAGTTATTTGAGGTTAAAATTGAACCTCAAATAGTAAATGATGCTTTTATAGTTTTTCATACTCTATTAAGAAATATTGGCTCAAAAACATGAAATCATATTTTTCGTGAAGTTTATCGAGTGTAAACAATACAATTTTTACGAAATAACCGTTTTTTCTATACTTGATTAAAAAAAATAGAATAAAATTAATCATTTTCTCAAAAAATAATAAATATTCTATTTACACTTGACTATTAGGTAATAAAAGCCATGTTTCAATAATTTTTCAATTAAAATAAAAAATGTTATTCCAAAACTTTTTTCACTATCTTAAAATCAAACTAAATTTCTCTTGTTACTATTGGGATATTTTTGCCGGTGGTTTTTAACTACCTTTAAATCCGTTGTGTTATAAAGAGCCCGGCTTTGTGAAGCAGCCAATGAAAAATACTTGATAGATTGATATTTCACGTTTAAGTCAAAAATATTTCCCATTGATGTAATTTAAAACTTATATTTTTCATAATTTTTGCGAAGCAGCCAATGAAAAATACTTGGTAGATTGATATTTCAGTGAAATAATTTCACGTTTAAGTCAAAAATATTTCCCATTGATGTAATTTTAAACTTATATTTTTCATAATTTAGTTTTTGCGCTGCGCCATGATTGTTAATTACAATTTGAAATGTGACGGTATAATTATATTCTAGGAAATTCTTAAATGACAAAATATAATTGGTAATTAAATATTAATATACGCAATTAAGATCTATTTAGTGTAAGAGTCCATGGATACTTTTAATTAATGATCATTAAACAAATCAAAATTATGGCTTTTAAAATATCAGCGCAATAAAATTTTACATTTTTTAAAATAATACTTAATTTCACTTAATCACAAAATTAATTTTGTAGTCTATTTTTTATTGTATCATTACCCTTAATAGTTTAAAATATACAGAAACTAAACTCTAGGGATGATTTTAGATAGATATGACCTCAAAAATCATCATTTTTGTATTGCGTTCTTATATCTAAAAGGATATTTTCCTCGATTTTATAGCGACAAAATTGTAAAAAGTATTCATTAAATCTATTTTTGAATCTCTCTCATTCTCGATCGATAAAATAGCCACAAATAATTTTAATTTTTAATTTTAATAAAGATTTTTTAGCTTTCGCAACTGTCACTGGGGTAGTAAGGTACCTACTAAGCAGTGTAAACATCTGAAAAATTTGACATTAAAAACTGTGTTCAATTATAACAAAAAATAGAAAGTTTGAAGAAGTGTTCGTCTTCACAGAATTCATCAAAGTATACTTCCTTTGTTTTCTTATTATTTTTGGTTTGGAATATTCAACTCAGCACACAATTTAGAAGCTTCAGAACGGAATTCGTCGAAAGAATCACGAAGATCAGCAAAAGCATTTTCATGCTAAAAAAGCTCAAATTCTTTTGACTGAAGAACTTTAGATGCGACGTTGACTTTCTAAGATTTTGCGCTGGATGATCAGAAATAATATAAAATAAAGTCTTTCAATTTTTTTTTGGAGTCCTGAAGCTTTATTCCTTGGATAATGTCGCATAACCTATTTATAAGCGCGTTTTCAGCAAACTATACTTTTTCCAAAGTAATTAATTATTTATTGAGCTACCTTAAAAATGGCTAAATTTAGGAGTTTATTTTACCGCTTATGGTGACTACACCATCGTAAGCTTGCCTAAAACATTTCGTTATTTGCAGTTTCTTTTCTAAACTAATTAAAACACTATTCGTGAGGGAAATTTGTGCTATGAAATGAAAGAGCAGTATTACCATCTATTATATAAATCGGCCATCCATATTCCTTCTACTTTATTTGTGCCTTTTGGATGTCCCTCCTGGCCCCCTATACGGCACGATACTGACCGTACGTTCAATATCTTAATTTATAATCGATTAGATTAACCTGTTGCTATTGGGAGGATAGAAAAACAAATTAATTCTTTATCTAAGAGTAGGAGTATTATGCATCACAATACAGAGTTTATACTGATAGATTGATACTCGGTGGTGTAGTAGTCAACGTTGCGGACTACAAGCCGAGAGGTCGTGGGCTCGAATCCCACCAGGGGTATGGCTGTTTATTTGTGTTTGTCTTTGTATTCCTGCAGGAATACAAAGACAAACACATTACATGTAATTAATTACATGTAATTGGGCCCGTGCCTGTTGAAGCACATTAAAAAACTTAAAAAACAATAAAACAAGGTACAGTTCTTAAAAGGGATATTTGTAGAGATGCGACTTGAAAAAAAACGGTCCGTTTTTTTGTTTTTTTTTTCAGGTTTTTTTCATTGTTTTTTTTTCAAATGGTTTTTTTTTCACATTTTAGGTTTTTTTTCAAGATTAGTCCCATTTGCCTAATTTTTTAGGTTTCATGGACTAAAATTAGCCACTAAATGACAATTAGTAAATGTAAATACAGTCTCGCTCGCCACCACCACCGAATTGACCAATAAGGGCCGTGCTTGTTTTGATTTGGTCCTAAAAAAAGTAACTACATATAATATTTTTGATTTTTCAAAAAGCTACCAAAAGCATTTTTTTCATGATTTTTCAAATTCATGTAGAGTATGGAATTTTTTTTTCAAAAAAACAATAGCAAATTCTTGTAGAACATTTATTCATTGGTGGTTAAGTCAGAACATTCCGTGGACCAGAAAGCCAAAAAAAATCGATTTTTTTTTATTACGGTATTTGTTAGGATTAAGCGTTGCACATTTTTCATCTAAAAATCTCAAAAAAAAAAAAACTTCAAGCTTCAAATTCCTTTTTTTACGGCTCCAATACGACCATTTTTAACAAAGATACAGCTATCCGAAGAATCTCAAAACAATTTTATCCTTTAATTTTTTATATTGGTGTAGAAGTTTTACATTGCTACTGGTTTCTAATGTGGAAACTACCAAATAATAAGAAATCAGATTTTTTAGTTTCGGTCAAAATTTTCAATAATGAAAAATTTAATATGTTCTACATTTCACTTTATTATTAATATATATTTTACTCAAAATTTCATTTTGAAAAAAAAACAAAAAAAACCGTTTTTTTCTAGGTTTTTTTCATGTTTTTTTTTCACATCTGAAAAAAAAACCGTTTTTTTACATCTCTAGATATTTGGCTATAATTATTACCTTCCACCGAAAAAAGATATTTGATAACATCAACAAATTCGTAAATACAAAAAATGCAAAATTAAAAATAAAGTCATTTTTTATTAGCAAAAATAAAGACTTTTACTATATTTTTACTGTGGAATGTCGAAAACCAGTCAATCCAGTATAATGTAATTGTAACTTGTAAGAAGCGCTATAGCGCTTCTTTATAAATCTAGTCTCCTCACTTAAAGCCACTTGGTTAGTACAGATGCGCGTGTAACATATAAACCAAACATTGTATTTGTATATCTGATATTGAGTACTTTAGATAAGATCACAGGCCATAAGATAACCACGCAATTATTAAATAATATAATCAATTTACATTAACATGTTGCTATTAAATTAACAATGAGTTTTGTGCTTGAATGTTTAATAGCAGTAGCTATAATAGCGATTTTGTGGTGGTACATTAATGTTACTTCTATTAGAAATAAATTATCATGGGTTTTCAAAATACCCGGGGTGCCATTGTTGGGAAATGGACTTCAGTTTGTTGGAAGCAACACAGGTAAATAATCTACTCCTATTGTTTTGTCAGCCTAAAAATTAATCAGGTGAAATTTCAGAACACTTCAATACGATGTTTAAATTATTAAAAATGAGCAATGAAATTAAATCTGTGCGCTTGGATTTTATACATAAAACTGCCATATTAACTGCTGATCCCAAGTTAATAGAATTTACATTAAGTTCTAATTCTTTAAAAATTTTGAATAAAGGGGAAGTTTATAGATTTATAACACCTTGGTTAGGTACAGGATTACTGACGTCTGATGGTAAGAACAACCCTTATGGACATTTTTCTCTAACAAGTTTTAATAAGTAAAAATAAGAGTTTTGTCTTACTTTCTCTTAAAAACTCCGAAAAAAACGTTTTAAGAATAAAGCCTGATTTATAGATTGCCTTCCTCTCTTCCTTCTGTATAAGTTGAACAATACGAAAACCGTTGTGCTGTTTATAGATTCCCTTACCCTAAGAACACCCTTCCTTCCTTAGAAGTTTTTAAGTTTTATCTCATGTCAAACAAATCACAGTACTACACATATACATAGATATGCGCTATATTGCTATGGCGCGCAGATACAAAATAATTAATATAATACGTATTATTTTTGAGAAAAGGTAATTTTTACCCAATTGGGTATAGGCATATGTTTAGTTTAAATAAAGTCGTTAGGCTATATTAATTGTGTTTCTTAAGAAATATATAAAAATCTGTCAGGTGTCTACTAAAATTTTGGTGTTTACTAGTCGTTAATTATAACTGTTATTTTTATGTAGTTTTTTTTTATATTACTTATTATTCAGAGTATTGGTTTGTGCTATCTCCATTTTTTACCATTTTGAGATTTATGCATTTTCGGAAAGTTGAAGTTGGTTTGTTCCATCTCCATAATAGTATTTTGATATAATTTTGTCAGTTTTTATTTTAGGTTAGTCTAAATCCGAGTTTTGTATAAAAGGTTTAAAATTGGTTTACTCTATCTCCAATATTTCGCTTACAGGCTTTCTTTTGCTCTATGTGTTTGTACAAATCTGAAAATAATTAGTATTTGTTTGTGCTATATCCATATGGAAAAAATATTTTATTACTGTTTTGTGCTATCTCCAAGTAAAGCTTCCTTATAAGTATAAAATTGTTTTGTTCTATGTCCTAAAACTTTGTTATATGTCCAACATTTTGTTTCTAAAATCCAAAAATAGCACTTTTTGTTTTATCTCCAAAACGTTTTTTCCAATATTGAGGCATAAATCCAAATTTGAGATAAGAGTTGCTCAATAGAACTAATTAAAGGCTAACCAAGAATATTGTTATTAATGTTTAATTCAGTTTTCATTAAAAAACAAATAAGATATTTAATGTAAAAGTTTTAAACCCGTTTATCTCGATTATAACATATTGGACATAGAACAAATCAATACTCAGGTGACGTTCTTACAGAATATAACTACTCAAATAAAACTAATTAAAATGCACCCACATTTATTTGACAAATATTTAAATTTAAGGTTTAATAAAATTAAATAACTGTGGTCAAATTGCCTACATACTTAATCGTAATCCAGATTATTAGCTTTTATAGTAAAATAAAGTTCAATTAAAAATACCAGTAAAATTAACTTATTTTATTAAATATCAAAGGTAATATTATTACCGTAATAACAATCACATATTCCACTCGAGAGAATTGTACGTCCAAGTAATACTTAGTATCTCAGGGCCGGATTAAAACAATTTGTTGCCCTAGGCTAATAATAAAATGGCGCCTATAATAATTATTATAAACCAATATAACACAATACATTTTAGCCGACAGGGGCGCACAGATAAGGGGAGCAAGTAGGGCACGATTTATTAACAATTATTACTTACAAATGTTAAAAATCAACTGGCTAAAAGCCAGTGGTTGTAGTTTTTTAATTTAAAATCCTAGATTATTGATCACACAAAAAAAACGCTTTGATATAGCCAATAACAATGCTATAATTGATTGTTTTTTCATTTCTCCAATAAAAGTTTATTCAATCAAATATGTTTGGAGCAATTGAGGGTAAGGGATTGATGTTAATTCAAATATTATATTCAGCCCATAACAAAATATTATCAAGTTAAAATTACTTGTTATAGAGTGAATGGCTCTTTGGATTTAAACCTAATGGAAATGTGTACTTCCTTGAAAATTTTAGAAATGATTGCATTCAAAGTTTATCCTATCAACACAGAGAAAAGTAATCTTTTGATTTAAGAAAATGCATTTATTTGAAACAGGTTTTCTTGTATGAAGTAAAATTTTCTTATTCGTAGTAAGAAAATACTATTATTTGGTTGTAACTCATAAGTTTCTTGAAAACAACTTATTGTTGTGATTAATTGTAAAGAAATATTTATTTAGAGCAATTAATTAAATTGTTTGGATGTAGGTTTTGTCTTTTTAAGTAAGCTTCTACTAAACCTGAGATAAAAAGTCAACTAGATATTTACTTGTATTAACCAAATATCAGTTTAAAAAGTCAAATAAACCCAAGTTTTTCACTAAATAAATATCTTCTTGTAGATATCGAAATAAATAATTTATTTGAGTCAAGCCAAATATTGTAAAATCAAGAGATTACTTTTCTCTGTGTAATATTACGTTTAGTTAATTTTACTACACATTTAGAAAGATTAATTATTTAGAACTAACCTTGTAAAATACACAAACAACACTTTTAACCCTTAACTACTCGCGCCAATTTTTGTAACATAAGTGGTCGCGCGGTGCACTAAGTGCTCCGCTCCTTAAAATGGCTATATTGCTGAATGTTTTCAATTTTAGTATTACTTTTGCTTATATTCGGATGAATTAACTCTCTTTTTATTAAAACACAATATTTATTTTAAAAAGAAACAAAAAGCAAATAACAAAAAATAAAACAAACAAAAAAGTTATTACTTCTACTCAGAAAAGAAGAAATCAGAATGAAATTTAGCCGTTCTATTTTTATTTGTGTATTCTTAGAAAAATGTATACCTTAAAAACCATTAGGTTTTAAATTCCATATTTTGTTAATTTAGAAATATTTTACATTGCAAAAATTGAAATTTAGTTACGTTTTAGTGAAGTATTTCTAAATCAATCTCAAGTTTTCTGTCCATAACTTTGAAATTAGTAGTTTAAACTGAATATGCCGTCGACAGTGCATGGGTTACATGGAAAGGGCATTTAATTCCAAGAAAACGACAAAAAGTTATAGAGGTTTTAATAAAAACGGAGCACTCAGTGCACCTGCGCGACTAGTTAAGGGTTAACAATGATTTTAGAACAATAATTTGGTTAAACAATTATATTTACTATTATCATGGTAGCATATGATATTAGAAAATAAATACAAAAAAATAATTAAATCGTTTCCATACAGCTTTTATATTTCAAGTAAAAAGCGTTAAATAAGCGTATAAGTAAGTATAATTATATAATTACTAATTTTTAGGTAAAAAATGGAAACCTAGAAGAAAAATCATTACACCAACTTTTCATTTTAAGATTCTGGAACAATTTGTGGATGTATTTGAATCAAAGGGAAAAATATTCATAGATGAATTAAGCAAGGAAACTAAAAATAATGGTTTCGATGTATACCCGTATGTTACCATGTGTACATTGGATATAATTTGTGGTAAATTACACAGACCGACAAAATATTACCGACGTCCTATACATACATTGTACCTTTTGAAGGTTTTTATGTGCTAATCTGAATCAGACGTCAGAGTTGTTTCACCACGTCAGGTTTTCGAGATATTGTTAAGTAAAAAAGTGTTTTGCGATATATACCGCAAAATTAACCGGACACTTTGTTTTATAGGAACTATAAATTAATTGTATATTACCGCTCTCAGCCCATATTTTTTTAATTTAATTTTTTATGTAATGCATTTTGCAAACAACAATTTTAAAGGCGTGATGAAGCAATTCTTAGAACAGATTCGAATTTAGCGCATCCAAGAGTATAATTCTGGTTTAAAATTGTTTTGACCGTTATGTTATTATATTATTTATCTGTTTTTTTTTTAGAAAGCGCCATGGGTGTATCCATAAATGCCCAAAAACAAAAGCACTCTGACTATGTTACAAGTGTTAAAAATATGTGTAGAATTGTAGTAGAAAGATCATTTTCTCCTTTCCAAATGTTTGATGCATTGTTTTATTTTACAAACAATTATAAAACACAGAAAGAAAGTTTAAGTATTTTACATACTTATACAAATAACGTTATCAAGCAAAAAAGAAAGGAGCTTGAAGCTTCTGATAAAAAGTTCATTGATATTGAGGATGATTTTGGTGTTAAAAAGAAAATGGCATTTTTGGATTGGTTATTGCAAACCACCATAGACAATAAACCCTTATCTGATAAGGATATTAGAGAAGAAGTAGACACCTTTATGTTTGAGGTATATAATATAAATAAGTTTTTAATTAGTTCATTGTTTAGAACTAATATCGTGTTTATTACACTATTATGTATTTTAGGGCCATGATACAACAGCTTCGGCCATTTCATTTGCAATGTACTTATTAGCAAATAATCCTAAAGAACAGGTTTAAATTTACACGCTTAAAAGTTTATATTTTATTTAATTTAAAATAATTTTAGGCAAAAGTATACGAAGAAGCTAAATCAATGTTTGGTGACGATAAAGAGAAATCAGCTACCTTTAAAGATCTTCAAGAGATGAAATATTTGGAAAATGTTATCAAGGAAACTTTACGATTATATCCTTCAGTGCCCATTTATTCTAGATGTCTAACTGATGATATTGAATACCAGGGCATGCATTTTTTAAGATGTTAAATATAAATACATAATATTTTTTTAATTTCAGAGGGTAAAATTATTCCTAAAGGTACGCAACTAGGAATATTTGCATTTGGAGTTGGTAGAGATAAGGATTACTACAAAGATCCAGAAAAGTTCATGCCATCCAGGTTTGACAGTATGGATGGAAAAACACCTTTTTCATACATACCGTTTAGTGCTGGGCCTAGAAATTGCATAGGTAAACTTAATTTTATACTGGTATAATCAATTAATAAATAATAATTTTAGGTCAAAAATTTGCCATGTTGGAAATGAAAAGCACTCTTTCCAAATTAATAAGAAACTATGAACTTCTGCCAAGTGTACCTGAACACAAACTTATTTTAGTTCCTGAGACGGTTTTAAAATCTAAAAATGGTATTAAAATTAGAATACAAAATCGAAAATAAATAAAAACATTACATTTATGCATTGTATTTTTTTATTGTTAAATCTAAAAAAATCAGATTTTAAGCATGTTTAATATAACACTGTTTTACAGAAAAATATGAGTAAAAAAATGTTTTTTTCTTCTCAATTTCATAGGTTTTTCTATGGTCCATTGTAATGCTACACGAAAAAAAATAGTGACCATTGATGCGCAGAACAATAATGCACTCAATAAACTAATGGAAATAATAATATATTATAATGTGCGGAATTAATATGACAAAAATACCCATTGCAGCAATGGCATTGCTGTGAGTTTTATTAGAAATTGTATGATTACAAATAGTAGATTGACATCGACAATGACGTTGACGTTGACGTTGACATAGTATATTAAGAAGAAAATTATGAATTTTTTAAAAATATTATAATAGTATATTCTGTAACAAGTTTGGAATAAGTAAGGCATATTCCGATCGAATGAAAAGTTTGTCACACGAGCCTAAGGCGAGTTTGACAGTTTCACGAGAGCGGAATATGCAATTCCAAACTTGTTTCAGACAATACTTGTTTTACGTTTCCAAAAAATACCATAGATAAGTAATTTAATTGGGAGAAAGTGAGGTTGGATCTAAATTTGTTATATAGTAAACACAGAGATGTCGCCACCAGTGTTTATTCCGCCATCGGATGATAGAATAATTCATTCTGTAATACATTTAGGAATATATGTCATTCCACATTAAAAAGTTATACTAGAACGGTCATATTCCGTAATAGGAGTAGAAAAAGGAAGATTAAAATTAAAATTCTTTCTACACGATATTATAATATACTTATATTATCTAATAGAATTTAGAATATGAAGAAACAACAAACTTACGACTTCAAAAAACAAACAAGGGCCTCTATCAATCGCCGGTTATACCTTTAGGCGGCTAGGCAGTCGCCATCGCAGTTGAGGATTTTTCAAAAGGCCTTATTTCCATTTTTACTTGAATGTAATTTTTTGACAAAATCCCAAAGGTGTGGTTGAAAGGCATATATTAACGGCGAAATATGACAGCAGGTCTGAAGTATTATTAAATATTTATCAGAATTTTTTTTTAAATAATCTATATTGCCCTAACCTATAGGTTATAGTCATTTTGAAAAATTGTTGCAAATGGAAATACGACCTTTTGAAAAATCACTCCTCAGTTGTAAAAATGCAACTATTTAAATAATGTTTTGCATTAACAGAAATAAAATTAATACAAAAACACAAACTTTAAAATTTTAACTATCCAAGTAGACAAAGGCGGTTTTAGACATCTACTGAGGGGGGGCACATGTCATGTGTAGTGGTGATCAGTGCAGTCACAGTATACCAGTCCTGACTGGACGTAATTCCGTCGGCATTATATTATTCAATTTTACTTTTAGGTGTCGTTCCAGGTAAGTCTATTTGATGCGATTAATTTAAAAACGTAATAAAATTAATTAAGCAGTTTATTTAGGGGCAGTGTTGCCAATGTACGTGGAAATCCACGCATTGTGTGGAATTTATTTTGTTCTGTGTAATTTGTGTGTAATACATAAATGTGTGGAATTTGCGTGTAAACTTTATCTTTAAATTAACAATGCTTATAACAAGCATTTAAATAAATACATTTGCAAATGCGCATTTTAGTTATTTAGTTATATCATATACATATAACTAGTTATAGGTATATGAGTTATATGGACGAATTTCTGTGCAGATTTCTATATATACAGCAAATTAAAAAAATCTGGTATTTTTGTAAACTTGCAAGCGTAAGTTATCGAGTAACCTAAAACCGTTTATAACAATATACTTTTTGACAAAGTAAGTAATCTAGTAAGTTTTTGAAAACGTCTTTAAGTAATCACCAGTAATTACCACAGAAAGAGTGTTTGTGGTGATTCACCTCAGAAACTCTTTCTGCGGTAATCACCAAAGAAACCTAACAAAACCAAAATCCCAAATGTGTGGAATAGTTGGCAAAATTGTGGAATTTTGACAGAATCTGTGTGTAAATTATGTCAACACCATTGGCAACACTGTTTAGGGGGGGCGATCGCCCCTGTCGCCCCGTCAAAAAACCGCTGCTGCAAGTAAGTTTTTTAGGTTAACGATCAATTTGCTTATTGGTTTCTTCATCGATTGTCCATATTTATATGAAACCTAAAAAAATCACAGAAAAGGCAGAAATAAACGTCAAAGAGCACAACGGCAGGTTTTTGTCATTTTTGTCAATTGATCTAAATAATAATAGTTTTTTAATTATATCCATTGCCTGTTTAGTTTTGTTATATAAAAAAGACGTGAAAAAGGCAGCAATACTCTCTAAAAATGAATTAGTTAAAAATGACTAATTTAATAGTTATTAGTGGATGCTTTTTCACTTGTACCATGGTTAACCATGGGATACCATGGTATCCCAAAATTTAACAGCCAATTATTATGTAAAATTGTCCCCTGAATCCAAAAATTTCGTTAAAAGTAAAAAAGAAACCACTTTTAACATCGAATATTTTGACCAGAGAGTAGATGATTTTACTTCTTAGGACTGTAATAGGAAATATGAAAATAGTCACAATAATAATGTATTGTGTATAATGTATTTGTTTACAACATTCTGGTTACTATGATCGCATGGTAATTAAAATTTAAACCTCATTTTTTCCAGAAATATTTGCTCTGATCAAAACAAAAAAATTTTTTACTTTCCTCACCTTTTCTAACTGTGTTTAATTATTTAACTTACTGCTTAAAATTTTACCTGAACAATCTCTTCTATTGTAGGCTCTATACACAGGCGATAGGCGTCAAGATGATGCAATATCACTCATTGTCGTGTGGGTAGTAATAATAGCTAACCTAGGTTAACATATTATGTTAATTATGTAACCATATGTAACCATATGGTCACGGTAGTACATAATAATAGGTTAACCAGGTTAACCTATTATTATGTACTACCGTATGTAACCGTACTACCATATGTAACCATATGGTCACGGTAGTACATAATAGGTTAACTTAACCTATTATGTACTACGGTAGTACATAATAGGTTAAGTTAACCTATTATGTACTACCGTGACCATATGGTTACATATGGTTACATAATATGTTAACCTAGGTTAGCTATAACCTAGGTTACCCATTATGTACTACCGTGACCATATGGTTACACTGACTCAAAATATAAATATTTAATAATAACAAAAAAAAAATAAGTTAAATACTTGGGATATCAACAGTTATAAGCACATTTATTATAATAAAAAAAGAATGGAATTGGGTGTTAATATATTAGGTTAATATATTAGGTATACCTACCCCAAATTTTACAAAATCAATTTTATTTTAAAAACTAAATTTGGCATTAATGGACCATTAATCAATACTTTAAAAGTGGTGTAAGTATACTGTATACACCATAAAATACTGTATACCTACACCATATAATGTATAGGTACATTATGTTTAAAATTTATCTATTAATTATTTAACTGTTAAAAAGTAAATTAAGTCGAACGATTCGGTATAAAATGAACTTATTGCAAAATAGTTTATGATAACCTATAGGTTATAATTATTAATAAAAATTTATAACATATAGGTCCATACAGCGCTGAGTACATTTTACACGCAAATTATGTTGCGAACAAATTATAGTCTTCATAAAGACCTTGTATTTGTGAAACCATTCGCATTTAGTTTAAAATGGGTTTCGTTGCAGAGCTGTCTGCTGCAGTGGTGCTTATCGGCATCGTTTATTGGTGGTTTAAAAATGTGAACACTGTCAGAAACAAATTAAGGTGGTGTGTCAAAAAACCAGGGGTGCCGATCTTGGGAAATGCTTTAGAATTTACTGGTGGATCAACAGGTGAGCGAAGAGAAAGTGATAGTGAAAGATAAAACAAATTTATTTTTACAAGTGCACTTAAATAAATAAATAAGATAATTGTATATTATGTTATCAAGTTTAATAAACGCCATTTTAGATACGAATTTAATTTAGGCACGAGCGAGCTTGGGATCAAGTGCTTAATTAAATGAGTGTCTAGAAAAATGTATAAACGAGTTGCATACTATATTTTTCTTTTACTCAGCAGCCGAACAAGGACAGTGCGCGCTAGTCAGTTTTTGTGGCGTTTTGAATAACAGGGGTATCCAAACTCTCAATCAGTAGGAATTAAAAATGTCTGCTTATTTGGCGAATTAAAAATATGTGTTTAGCAAAAAAATACAAATATAAGAAGCAAATATTTTAAATTAACTAAATAAAAATATCCGTTTGACATAAAAATTAAATCTAATTTTTAATTAAGCGAATTAAAAATGTGTGTTTAACAAAAAATACAAATATAAGAAAAAGATATTTTAAATATACTAAATTAAAAATATCAGTTTGGCATAAAAATTAAATCCAATTTTAAATTATCTGCCATAATATTATTAATTCGCAGAATAAACATTCTAATGTGATATTTTTGATCTAATTAAAAATATAGCTATGAAAATAATTCCTGAATAACAAATAAAACGGCGCACCATATGGTTGCGAAGCGATGTTAGTCAAATGCTCGCTGTTTAAAAAAAAGATTTAAACAAGAGTAATAATGATACTAGTAAAATTATTAATTATAGTACAATTTTTACCCCCATTTGCCCTATCCCAAATCGTATTAGGTTATGGCACAGGTATGGCACAGGCCATACAAATTCATTATTTACTACTTTGGACCAATACAAAAATCGACTTCTGCCGGATATATTCAACCTCACTTTAAACTTTTAATAGTTATATTTTTTTGTATCGTTTAACAAATTAAATTTTGCCTTGAAGATTCAACAGTATAACCAAGAAGTGTCTTTTTGTGCTTCGCTCAATTGTAGAGAAAATAACAGTTATCCACTTATTTTCAATTCAAAATAATAAATAATGTGGACAGGGCCGGATTAAGGCAAAAGGGGGACTGGGGCAAAAAATGTAGGGGGCCCTTAAAGTTCTTTATTATTTAGTAAAAAATTATAATTGAAAAAGAAAAATTCCGAAGATCAGTGTTTAGTAGTTCACAGTTTGAACTTCACACGCTCATCCCGGTCAACATTTAACGTAACACATTATAGCTGTTATGTAACAGGAGTCACATTGCAATGTTACGATGTTACTAAAATGCAACGCAATAATTACCTAAAATAAAAGTAACATTGTTACTGTTCCAAGTTAACCAATAGGCAATACAACAATAACTTAACATTGATACTATTGTGATTGTGAAATTATTGTAATATAACAAAATTACCAGAGCTTTTTCGGATAACATGATGCAATTCGATTTAAAATCATCCCTAAAATAGGTTTTCGGACACTCTGTATAATAACAATAAGTCATTATGATTGGATTAACTATAAATTAACGACTGAAGGACCTCGTTCAATGGGCAATTGGAAAATTGTTTTTCTTTTTTGCAACAAAGTTAATTTATTAGGTATATATTAAATCAAAGTGATAAAAATAATTACATAATATTATGTAGGTATGTTCAGTAATTTCATATAATGGTATAATAGTAACTTATGTATGGATGTAATTATTTTCCAATTACTAATTCCATCCATTATAATATTTTTTATATAAATAACTTGATGCGTAGTTTGTATGAAACGAAAATATAATCTATTTATACATGTATACATTGTTATTCGATTAATCACTAAATTACGTTAAAATTACTATTCATTTGACAAACCTGCATGGGTGAATAAAATAATTTAAATAAATAGTTAATTTAAATAAAATTATTTACACAGAAAATATATTATTTATTTATTTAAATTGTCGGATTTGTGGAAAAAAATAATTTATAGGTTTGGTTTTTAATAAAATTATTTGTTTTAGTTTATTTTGTCTGCGAGCTTCTACCTAAAGTTGTATAATATACATATTATGTTCTGTTTAGGTTTCCACAGGCGTTATATGTATTGATGGTTTTCCGGCATCTGCTCCGTGTTGTCGGTTTTTGGTTCATTTATAAAATGTTTGGTACGAAAATCCTGAAAAATTTCATAAAATGTCAATGTAAACATACATATCGTCCCCGTTCTGGCAAAAGTCATTAACTCCATGTTTGTCTAAAAGTAGTTGACTACCTTCGCGATCATAGAACAATTATATCTGTGGTCTAGAAAAACTTATTAAGTGCAGTATTGTATTTTTAGCATGCTTAAAATACAATACTGCACTTAATAAGTTCTTCTAGGCCACATATATAATTGTTCTATGATCGCGAAGGTAGTCAACTACTTTTAGACAAAAATGGAGTTAATTACTTTTGCCAGAACGGGGACGATATGTTGTATACCAATCTTAGCGATTCAATTGATAAGACCTTTTTTAAAGATATTAATTTTCAACAAGTTTGTCCTTTACATTGTTTCGATGAATCCAGTCACTTTTGAAATATCTTCAAAAATTTAAGAATTTTTCACTAAAATCAGATTTAGTGACCCGTACCATCCTACAGATGCAGATTACAGCTATGGCACATAAAGCATTTTTGTAGAACTTTTGATTACGAGTAAATCCCTTTTTGGAACAATCCAATAGAATAAAATGCGTCTGAGATATAGATATTTCAAAAAAATAATCAAAGTTTACGTGTATTTTAAATGGGAAAAATGGAAAATTTATAAGCTTTGGGAGAGTACTTAGAGTTAATATTAAGGGCTCATATTTTCAGGCAATTTTCAGGCAACTTTTTCAACATGATTTTGAGTGGGGAGCGAAAAAATAAAAATAGTCGTGAAAAAAAAGCACCCTAATATGATATGTATTATGACTTTCCCATAATCAGGCAGACTGCTTGAAGACCAATGACAAATGGACATGGTGCGATGTCTTAACATTATATTACTACAACTAACGAAAAAAATGATATTGATCGGGCAATGTTTGGAGGTTCCACCACCTTTTTAAAGTTCAGAATATTAAATCTGCACTTTAAAAAGGTGGCGGACCCTCCATACATTGTCTAAATCTACTTTTTTTTCGTTAATTTGATAATAGTACACCACTTTTCCCAAATACATTTTTACCATCATGTATTTTGCTCAGCCAATGTAGGCATATTAAATGGTAACCATTAGGTATTTCACTTCACACTGTGCAATAATAATTATAATTATAATTTAGTTTAATAAATACTGAAAAAACAAAATGTTGCCTATTTGGAAGGAAATCTAAATTAAATCAGACTGCCTTAAATAATATCAATATTGGGATAAATAAATACCTACGTGTTATCCAGGGTGGCTATCGCAAACAGTCCAGCAAGGTTTACGGCTTTGTATGTGAAAATAAAAAAAATCTTAGGACCCGAATAGATACTTTTGTTTTCAGGGTTACATATTTACACATTGATTTCATCACTGTTTACAATTATAACTTCAACCCCTTAGCTGGGTTTTGAAAGAGCATTAATTTTCTTTAAAATGGACCTTAGTTGTTTATTTGTGATGCGGGTTGCCGAGAAATTTAATTGAATTTTATTGATTAGAACCTACGTATTAACTGTTGAAAATGTCTGCCGTTCACGTACAGCAAGTGGATGTCAGCCACTGTTAATTCATTGTGTAATTTGTTGGCATTCATTACTGATGCGGTTCCGTATGCCTAAATATACAAAAAAAATTAAAAAAATGCTTGTCTTAAATAGAAATCATAATGCTTTTTTAGTACCTACCTACTCTCTAAAAAGCAGCCACTAATAATTCTTTTCAATAGCAATTTGTATCAAGAACATTTAGCAGTCAATTTCCATGTAAAATTTTCCCCTAAATCCGAAATTGTCTTCATCTCCAAAAACTGCATAATTTTTTATAGTATTTTTAGATTTAGGAGACAATTTTACATAAGAATTGGCTGTTAAATTTTAGGGAATCCCATGGTTAACTATGGTATAAGTGAAAAATCAGCCACTAATAACTGTAGTAACTAGTCAATTTTGACTAATTCATTTTTAGAGAGTAATTTTATTTTTTTAATGATCTTTTTTTTATAAAAAATAGTTATTTGTGTAAGGTGAAAAAGTTACTTTTTTCGGGACGATTTTGATAGTCCAGGCCAGAAAGAAGACGAGGACAAAATAAGACTTTTTGGCAGTGGTGCACACAAAATTTTTAAGGTGACCTTTATTATTATAATTCTATTAATAATTTATTGATATATTTATCAATAAAATGGACAATTATAAAAGCGGCTAAAAAAGTGTTATTTTTTATCCGCTTTTAAGTACTAAAAATCCATTTTTTTGTTTATGTCGAATAAAAACATTTTTTTTAACAACAAAATAGTAACCTAATTTGCAATACACTCTAGCATGCAGACACTCCAAAGCGCCATACATCGCTCTGACCAAAGCATCGAACCATGGCTTCGTTTAACAAAATAAAAAACACACCGATTTAAACACCAGACTTTTACAACATTTGCTCCTACCACGGTCTTATATACAGGTCTTGCAACTTCGCCCAATTTCAATAGGAAAAGTGACCTCTCTAATGAGACACCCACCAGATGGCGCATCGAGTTGGATGGATAAACCATAGATGTTTAAAGGTCGTTTTTACCTTCTTTATCTTTGGGTTTTACAATCGTTAGATAAGCTTCTATGAAAGTTATCCGCCAAATAAGCTTACTTAATCTAACGATTGTAAAACCGGCTCTAAGTCCTTAAAGTCTATGGGATAAAAGGTCAAATGAACTACCTACTTATGTTCTGTGAAGAAACATAACCTACATTTTTATAAACAAGCTTGTGTATTTTGTTACAGGGAGTTTTTACTTTACGTTATTGTTATATTATATTGTTCTATTTTTTCTTGTTATATTTATTCTTGTTATATTTGTTCTTGTTATATATTTGTATTTGTGCTTTTTAATAGACATGAAGTCCTGTGTTGTGCCAAAATGTAACCAGCAAAGCTATCGTTCCGGCATTAAAATTAAGCGGTCCATGTTTAAAGTGCCAACAAATAAGGAGCGGTTAAAAACATGGCAATGTGCAATAAAAAACATATTATTGACACCTTCACATTTTGTATGATTATTATATAATTAAGCACATCGTGTTGGTGAAATATATATTATTTTAAATAAACAATCAACCCATCCCCGCCAAGACAATAAAAAAATCGGTTATTAATAAATTAGCCAGAATATTGGTTGGTTAGTTTGTAAAGCTTGGCTATGTTGTGTTCCTAGAAATTTTGGTTTTCATATTAGCCAAATTGAATTGGATAGTTTACAAATTATCCAGCTATTCCTAAATAATTTCAAGTAAATTAGCCAAGACCATTGGTTGGTTTACAAACTAGCCGCCAATTTAGTTAAAAATACGTTTTCAATTAAAATAGCTGACAGTTTGGCTAGTTTATAAACTACCCAGCTACTTTATAAACTATCCATGTTTACACATTAGCCGTAACATATATATGATATACGTATGTATTTTATACATTAACATGTTTTACTTACATGTTTGGTCTGGGCATGTGACGGCCGAGGACTTTGTGCATAGAGTATAGACTTTGTTGTCCTATTTTGTTAACGTAAATTATCCGAAACAAACTCACAAATATTAAATTTTTGAAAATGTAAACAAAACATAGAAAAAGAATTTAAAAAGTTAGGTTATGGTTATGCAGTAGTTCCACATTTAACTAAGTAGTAGTTTAATTGACTTTACCCCTTCGATCTTAGCGCCACCTAGCGGCTTGGCACGTTAAGGAAGCCACCTCGAAGCTTAAAGTTGCAAGACCTGTATATAAGACCGTGGCTCCGACCTATGCGCTTCGATGTGACTACCTAGATTTAACGTTTTTTTGTGGTGCGATATTATGAACAGAGCAATGGCGCCGACGTTCCTTTTCCTCGTATGAAAATATTTTATTGGTCAAAAGACATAATTTAACAAAAAAAATGCCAAAAAAACAATTATTTGCAACTTTAATGGCAAATAAACCATCAAAAATGGATTACTTTTTGAAATTATTTTAAACTATTTATGTTAAAACTTTTTCTTTAATATTTTGTATGTACCTATATTGGAATAAACGCGTTTATTTTTTAATAAATAAATATTGCTTTTCTGTAGTTTTTTGTGCCTAATTAGGAGTCTTTATTAATTTGTTTTTAGGATAGCATTATTTTCCTTTATCATCCAATATTTTTTTAATTTTTTTTCAGAGCATTTAAAAACCATAGGAAGATGTATTGAATACAGTAAAGAGAAAAAATTTACATATATAGAATTTGTATATAGACCAATAATACTGATTTCTAACTACAAATTTTTGGAGTTTGTGTTAAGCTCAAACTCACTGAAACTTATTGATAAATCAGATGACTATACTTATCTCGTTCCTTGGTTGGGTACTGGATTGTTAACATCTGGAGGTATGAAAATTTTAAAACCTACTTTTTATGTAATTAGAATTTTTTAATATTATTTAAGGTGGAAAATGGAAAACAAGAAGAAGAATTTTAACGCCAGCATTTCATTTTCAAATTTTGGAACAATTTGTAGAAGTTTTTGAGTCCAACGGAAATATTATGGTTAATAGACTAAAAGAAGAGGTTGATAAAAATTCATTTGATATATATCCTTACATTACATTATGTACACTGGATATTATTTGTGGTATTCTTTTTATTTATTTCGTGTTTTTTTAAATTAAAACCTTTTTTATAGAAACTGCAATGGGAGTTTCCATTAATGCTCAAGATAAAAAAGAATCAGAGTACGTTAGAAGCGTAAAAGAAATGTGCAGAATAATCGTGGAAAGATCGTTTTCACCCATAGAAATGTTTGACACTCTTTTTCCATTATCAAGAAACTACAAAATACAAAATCAGGCCATCAAAGTCCTTCACAATAATACATATAGCGTGATTAGACAAAGACGAAAAGAGTTGGAAGAATCTAAAAAACAGTTAGTTGAAATAGAAGATGACGTAGGCACAAAGAAAAGAATGGCGTTTTTGGATTTGCTATTAAAGGCTACCGTGGATAATAAACCTTTATCAAATGAAGATATTAGAGAAGAAGTGGACACATTTATGTTTGAGGTTCTAATGTAACTATTTGTAAGAAAAATATTGTAATGTTTAATAATACTTCCAGGGTCACGATACCACAGCTTCTGCCATTTCATTCGCTATTTACTTATTAGCCAATCATCCCGAAGAGCAGGTATATTTCACTATAAAAAAGTATTGTGATGTTTTTTGTCTTTTTGACTAAAAACTATAAAAATATAATATTATGTTAACTCCATGTTACGTTTAAGTTGACCTCCATGGAGTTATTTTGCAAATTATTCCTTTCTAAAATTTTATATGTTTTGTTTAGGCGCTTATTTGAGGGCGACTTCAGTTTTAATTTTTTTCAGTTTATGATTGCTTATATTATCTATTATAAAAACTACCAAATTTAGCACGTGTTATTGACTGTATCAGAATTGTGTCATATACTAGGACTGGTCAGTGATTAAATAATTTAATGATTTAATATACTTAATATACTCTAAATATTATAGGGTAGATACCCGCAAAATTTGCCATTTTGCTGGAACCATTCAGCAATAAATAAAAGTTATAGTAAATACAAATATTTTAGGTTAGTTTATTGTGTCCTACGTATTTTATATGCAAAATTAATAATTTATTAAATTTGTTTTAAATTTTGTACTTAAATCTTATTTTAGAAAAAAGCATACGAAGAACTAAACTTAATTTTTGCTGATGATAAAAACAGACCAACAGGACATAGATATCTTCAGGAAATGAAGTATTTGGAAAATGTTATTAAGGAAACTTTAAGGTTGTATCCTTCTGTGCCCTTTTATGCCAGAATGGTAAATGAGGATATAGAATATGAAGGTAAATAATAATAAACGATAATTACAAATAACCACAATATATGTAATTTTAGATGGTAAAGTTATTCCAAAAGATACCTCACTTGTGATATTTGCGTATGGAGTTAATAGAGATAAGGATAACTTTAAGGATCCAGATAGTTTTATTCCTTCAAGATTTGACGGTATAGATGGAAAATCTCCTTATTCTTATTTGCCATTTAGTGCTGGACCTAGAAATTGCATTGGTAGGAAACATAAATATATTTTTTGTTATAACTTTCTAAAAATGTTATGAGCCAATCAAAAAGTTGTTCAGGTTTTCTTACGTTAACTTAAAAAACAATTTGGCAATCAAAACCAAATATTTTAAATGGTAAAAGATTGCTTGAACAGTATAATTTCTAATATATTTCAATATGTTTAGAATTTCTTAAAATTCATACAAAAATAGTTCTTTACACCAATCACAATATTACAGATTAAAAAACGAAAATAGCAATTCCAAAATAAAAATTTAATGTTACCATATAATCCTTAAAATAACTAGTTTTAACATAACCATGACCATTTTTTATGTAATTTTGTACATAATCCATGAATGATTATTTTTTACAATTTTTTATTATTAATATTTCTTTACATATTACTTTTTCAAATGGTTTTTATTTATGGTATCTAACATTTAGAGGTCGCCCATAATTAAACGTAAGTTGGGAAAATCAAAAATTTCAATCACTAAAATCAAAAACAACGACAAAAGGAATGTGTTTGAGGGCTCAGGAAACTGTTTTCAATGATGCGACTATGCGAAGAATGTACTGCGACCTGGTCAGTGTATTTTTAAATAGGATTGATTCAAAATTCGGCATTACCATTACCGGCACTATCCATAAAATTCTTATGGCCAATTATGTAGTGGTGCCTACTTAGGAATTCTTTACTTTTGAATTTCCCTTCACTAATAACAACAATAAAAAAGCTGGTTATTTAAGTAATAACATTGTCTACACTGAAAAAAATAAGCTGTTGAAACAACAAAAAAAATATTAATTCAACTCTTTATGCACTTTAAATACAAGCAATGGTTTTTGCACGTTTACTTAACCATCTAAAAATGTCAAATTGTATTGTTTAATTGAACAACAAATAACAGTCAAATGAACAAAATAAGAATATTTGTTCTAATCTGCTAATTTGGTTAATTTAACATTCTTAGGGTGTTAAGGTAAATTTCTTGAAATGTCCAGGTAACCTTTTTAGCATATTCACTTAACACCAATAAAATGTTAAATTAACATTCTAAAAATGTAAAATTCTTTAAAGGTTGGTATCCAAAACAAAATTATGGAAATAATATATGATTATATATAAATAGAAAGAATTGAACCTTCACCTCGCCCAGAGTTTTTGTTTTGAGCGTGTTCCACACATGATACATCTTTGTATCATGTGTTCCACCTACTTCAAATACCGACAGACTGTTTCGCCCTGTATTGAGAGTCTTAACAGTGTCGGGCAATATGTAGTGAAAGTTCTACTGTGGAACACACCTTAAACAAACAGATATCTCCAGTGGCGTATTTAGGGGGGGGTCCGCCGGGTCCGGACCCCCCCCGGGCGCACATATTTTATTATTTTTATTACAAAAAAAAGTTAAAAAAAAACCTCAAGACTGTCAACGTACTTTATTATTTATTAATTATATTTAAATATAAAATCATTAAAATCAAAAATCAACTACTTACGTATTAAAGAGAAAGAGGTGGTTTGGCAACCCTGTAGGTATATCGTTCCTACCTCTTTCTCGTGTCGTTATGATCGAGGCGCGAACAGAAATAGAACTATACCATGAATAGATAGTTATTAAAGCATAGCATAGTACATATTTAGTTAGTTTTTTTGGACCCCCCCCGGAGCTAAATCCTAAATACGCCACTGGATATCTCATCTTATATACACCTAATCGTAAGCTAACTAAGGCGAGATGTAAGAAAACGTCATTGTCTAATGACGTGGCGTGAGTGTTCGAAGCGCCATTCTCGGCAATTTTATGAATGCAAATTTTAAATTTTAAAGTAACATTTTAAATTTGTTAAATGAACAAATTTAAAGTTTTGGATTAAAGAGCAACTAAACGTTAATTTAATAGTTTTTTTAGGTAATCCTAAAAATTTCAGTAGTTGATTCAACAAATTCCAGCTATTAAATCAAAGTACGATAAACATTTTAATTCAAAATATTAGTTTATGTTAAATTAATATTTAAACTGTCAAATGAACAAATAAACTTTGACAAACTCTGACTTTTGCTTTAACACCAAAATATAGATTAATCCAATAGGTTTTTTGTTGAAACATTTTTAAAAATGACATTTAGGCAAATGTTAACTCAACTATAGTTGTATGTATACATTATTTTTTTCGGTGTATTGTGAGATCATTAGTTAAATCAATGCGACATGGACAATCAAATAATTTTGAACGCTTTATGTTTTTAGCCATTATAGACATGTCCACAATCCACACATGTGTGGATTGTGGACATGTCTGTGGATTGTGGATGTGTGGATTGTGGACATGTCTACAAAAACTAAAAAAATATCATGGTTAAGAGTGCACTCTGTTTTAAAAAAATGCAATGAAACCAGGATAACTTTTTTGCTGAATATAAATATTTATAGAAAGGTGGAGCTTAATTCCAATATTTTACATAAACCAAACTCACAAATAGATCTAAATATTCGAAATTCTTTGTCTGTCCAAGATTCTCAGTTATTCTCTTCTTAAACCCTTAAACAAAGGGTTTTAAAACATGCCAGGTTAAGCCTTTCCTTCTACTGGAACGAATATTTTTTTATATTCACACTAAAAAATTTGCTATGAGGAGGCAAGATTTATCGTTTTTTTTGTGAAATACCCTAATATAGATAAATATTTTAAACCCCTCAAAATATTTTTCTGGATCCGCCCCTGGTTATTTGCATTTTATTTAAAAACAACGTTTATAATTCAACGAAGGTGGCTGCTTTTGACTCAATTACCTACTTGATAATACTTGATAAATTGAATAAATATGCCTAACTCTTCGTTTGTAATGTATAGGCAACACAAATAACACAATACAAATTGCGTTTAATTGTACTTATAAGATTTTAGTACAACCAACCAACAAGGTATCTTTACCAAAAAGATTTTCATTGTCGGCTAACGCCTCATGGAAACAGCTCGCGTCCGGACTGATATATCTACATCGATGTTTTATTTTAGGACAAAAGTTTGCTATGTTAGAAATGAAGAGCACTATCTCCAAAATAATAAGGAACTATGAGCTATTACCAAGTATACCAGAGCACAAAATTGTTTTGGCTGCAGAGACAGTTTTAAAATCCGCTAATGGCATAAAGATAAGGATTAAGAAGAGATAATACATTTTATATACGAGTAGGAAGGAACTACTTATTAAAAATAAATATATTAAAAATATAATTAAATAAAATATAATAAAATATAATATAATATAATATTAGTATTATTTTTAAATCCCTACTCAAAATATTTAATACGAGGATTGGATAAATAACTACCGGTCTAACTAGGATCCAAGCAAAATTTTCTAAAAAAATCTTTACGGGAAAGTTTTGTTTGTTTAAATAATTTCATGATTCGTAAATTTGTTAACTTGTTTTATCTTTTTGATTTTTTATGGATTTGTATGATCTAAATAGTTGAGAAGTGTAATTTTAAAAAATGTTCGACAATAAACCAACTTTCTAAAATGAAAAACCAGGACACAACATTCCCCTCCTCGCCCTTCCAAAAAATAAACAAAATTTATTTTATTTAACGTTTAAATTATTAAAAAAAAAAAGATGTGCTAATAACGTCAATAACAAAAAAATAGTACCCAAAAATTCAGATTTTTAAATTTATTTTAACCTGGGCCTTGACCACTTTAAATAAAGCAATTAGAACAAATCCTAAAAAAGTGGAAAAACCTGAGTTTTTTTCTTTCTTGTTTTCTATCATAAAGGTACTCCCAAAACTTCAGATTTGTAAATTATTTTTTAACCTGAGCTTCGACCACTTTAAAAAAAAAATTAGAAGTTCTAAAGTAGTGGAAAAAACTCGTAATTTTTTTTTTCTTACTTTTTTACTATTCTGAAAAAATTGATTTGTAAATTAATTTTTAACCTGAGTAAATTAATTTTTAACCTGAGCCCTGAAACCTTTTTAAAAAAATAATAGAGCAAATCCTTAAAAAGTGAGAAAAAGTCATAATTTTTTATAATTTTTTTTTTCAAACGAGGTTTTTTCCTACTTTTTTAATTTTCTAAATGTACTTCTAAAGTTTTAGATTTTTACATTAATTTATAACTGAGCCCGACCACTTTTTAAAAAAGAATAGAACAAATCGTAAAAAAGTGAAAAAGTCATAGTTTATTATAAATTTTTTTTCAAATCATTCCATCCGGATATATCCTCTCATGTACAAATTTCAAATCGTTAAAGTAAAAATAAAAACAAAATTTTAAAATAAAAAGTAAGTATTTTTTATTAAATTTCAAGTGATTCCTCTGTGAACATATGGGGCTGGATAAGTGTTTATGGACGGTCCATAATGGACCTGGTGTTTGTTGGCGACTGGAGGGAAGGTTTAATGCGAAAATTATTTAAACATTTTGACATACTCCTTTCAGCAGGATAATTTTACAGTCCTCACTGCCAATACTGTTACCCACTGGTTTTAAACCCATACTGTAGAAGTGCTGCCCCGGCTGCTTATAGTCCCGATATTAATCAAATATTTGGGGTTTGATTGTAAAAAAATGTTTTAACAAAATTACCTACAGAACTCAAAATTTTTAGTATTTATTGGAAACTATACATGACTGCTGGGAAGATATTAATCCAAATATTGTATTAAATTTAATTCAATCCCAAAAAGATTGGCTTAACTAATAGAAGAACAGAGAAATTTTTTTGAATATTAATGCTCTTTATAACCTATAGTAACAATTTTAATGACTTATGTCAGTGATAAGCCGGTTTTAAGCAATAATATTATTGTGACAGTTTTCTCTTATTCTAATTCTTTCACGTTTTTTAATGAATATAACTGTATTAATATTTTAAATTAAATTTACATCAATTAAAGTGGCCTTATAGTTGTGTAATGCCCCATAACTTAAAACAAAAAAATTGTAAGTAAATAAAAATAAGAATCATACCTAATGCAAGTACTTTCCTTTATATTTGCTAATGTCAAATAAAATGATTGTTCTAAATGAATTTGTGATGAAACATACATATACACTTAATGTAAATAAATATTTTACAATGGGAAAAGTGCGCTTGCATAGCACTGCTTAATTACAAAGAACTGTCATCAGCTAGTTAAATAAAGTAAAATTTTTTGATATTACCCAATAAGACTGTAAATAAAAAGAGTTTGTTTAGTTACTTAATTTTTTTCAATAGGTAAGTGACTCTTAAAGCATAAAGAGTATTACATCCATATTCGACAAATAAATTGTATTTAAACAATTTTAAAGCAATAGTAAAATTAATTTTTTTTTTTAATTTTAAATAAGCAGGAACCAATGCGTTTTATTGTATACAGGGTGTCTATTTAAAAACGAGCAATGCTCTATATGTCTGGACCTAAAAAAGATATCGAAAACTTCTTAAAACCGTTTCTAGATGTGAGGGGAATCAGTATGACCACAAAAATGACCTTCACTAAGCAACCCCTGGGGCTGTATCCACCCCAACTCAATTTCACAACACCAGCTTAGTGATACCTAATTGGAAAGGTCTTAAACATTGTTATTTAACAGTAGGTACTAAAAAAATACTTTTTAATAGTTTAATTTTTGAAAAATGTGCAAAATAATTTATATAAGTATTTATTCAAATTTCCCGTTATAAATATCAAATTAAACCATTTTGTTGTAGTAAAATCATTAGTAAAAAAACTGTGAAAAATAAAATAATTCTAACAAAAATATAATAAACTAAAAGAGCATAAAAAATTGTTTAACATTAATCAAAACGCTTTAATATTTAACTTTTTAAATCAAATGCTCAAAATGATCTTTATTTTGTAAGCATTAGTACAGTCTATTCTCAAATTCCCTTCGAACATTTTGAAATGATTGTCGTGGAATAGCTCGGCATTCTTGAACTATTCGTTGTCGCAGATCTTCAATAGAATGTGGCTGAGTTTTTTAGACCACAGATTTTTAGTGGTAAAAAAGTCTAATGTTGTCAGATCTGGAGATCTGAGAGGCCATTCTATTGGTCCTCTTCTGCCAATCCACTGTTCTGATCCAGCCAAGCCCTAACAGCTACTACATAATGAGGTAGTGCCTCATCTTGTGGAAAATATAATAAATTTTCATTAAAAGCATTTTAAAATAAATTTGACCAATAAAATTTTGGTAAATAAATAAGGGACCAATAATATAATCTTCCAAAATTCCTGCCCAGACATTAGGTTTTTCAGGATACTGGATATGATTTTCTCTGATGAGATGAGGATTTTCATTGCTTCAATTATTAATAACGACAATTAATTTTGTTTGTTAACATTTCCATTTGGATAAAAGTACACTCATCGCTGAAGCAAATGTTTTTTAGTATTTGGATCTGATTTGTAAAATTATTGATCATGTTTTAACAAAATTCTAAACACCTGTTTGCATCATTATCGCTAAGTTCTTATGTTATATGTATTTTGAATGGGTGGAATTTGTAATTTTTAAACACCTTCCTAACAGACTCAGGGCAAAGCCCTGTTAATCTAGATGCCGAACGAAGTATCACTTTGTGGGATCTACACCAAACTGACCAAGAAACTCATTGATATCCTAGGTTGGATTCTTTTCCGATTGCAGATCTCGATGTTCAAATTTTGCAACCACACGGAAAAAAATAATCGGTAGAGGCTACCGATTGGCAATCGGTAGCAGCTACCGATTGCCAATCGGTAGACTCTACCGAAAAAATCGGTAGACTCTACCGAAAAAATTGGTAGTCTCTACCGAAAAAAAATCGGTTCCCTCAACCGATTTTTATCGGTAGTAGCTACCGATTATTTTTCGGTAGAGTCTACCGATTTTTTCGGTAGAGTCTACCGATTTTTTCGGTAGCCGTAACCGAGAAAATCCGCATCGATGCGCTGTTAAAAAATATATTAATACTTAAAAATATTAACATTTAAAAATAATATTAAACATTATTCAAGTTAATAAAAATTACTCTTTTCAGTCAAACATTTTGAGATGGTATTCATTGTAATTATTAAAAAATGCTATTCAAAAAATATCAGAAAGGTTTGGTTGTTTTAGTTGAGATTGATGATAATAACGATCCAGTCTTCGGAAAAATTAATGAATTAGTCAGTGTAAGTAATTGTATATATTTTCTCATGTTCTCGATTAAAACATTGTATTTTGATCAACACTATTATGCTTATTGCGTTGAAATTGATTATTAATCAAGTATGACAAAGAATAAGAGCAAATTACCAAATTTAGAACCTTGTTTATTACAAAAAAAAATCTCTACTTTGTAGCCACCAGACATTTAATTTAATATTTATTTAGAATTGTAAAAAATTTAATAAAAATTACTCCTCATTTTTAATATTTTTGTATTTCAAATTTATTTATACCTCAAAAAAAAAATACTATTTTCTATTTAATAAAAAGCGAGTACCTATTTAACTTCTCGCTAAAAAAATACAAAAAGTTTCAAAAATTGGTAATCGATTTTTGTGGTAGCCTGCACCGAAAAAATCGGTAGACTCTACCGAAAATAATCGGTAGCTGCTACTCCTCATTTTTAATATTTTTGTATTTCAAATTTATTTATACCTCAAAAAAAAAATACTATTTTCTATTTAATAAAAAGCGAGTACCTATTTAACTTCTCGCTAAAAAAATACAAAAAGTTTCAAAAATTGGTAATCGATTTTTGTGGTAGCCTGCACCGAAAAAATCGGTAGACTCTACCGAAAATAATCGGTAGCTGCTACCGATAAAAATCGGTTGAGGGAACCGATTTTTTTTCGGTAAAGACTACCGATTTTATCGGTAGAGTCTACCGATTTTTTCGGTAGAGTCTATCGATTGACAATCGGTAGCTGCTACCGATTGCCAATTGGTAGCCTCTACCGATTATTTTTTTCCGTGCAGCTCTTGTACATGTATACCAATATCTCAGTTATTAGACATGGGACCCACACCAAATTTATAATAGTTTATAATGACATTAAATAAACAAGTTCGGCGCAAATAGAATGAAGTTTGCGAAAAAAAGTTAGTTTTTTCTGTTGCCTCACCCGCCTCCAGGCCCCCTATTTGAGATAATTCAAATTAAAGTGGTGCAATTTATTATCTACTATAATTTATCGACAAAATTTGATTTTGATTTTTTAAATAAAATTTTACATTTAATGTA